GTTTATCTTTGTCTCGTCAGACCAAATCACCCGCTTCCAGTCCTCCAGCGTCCAGTCGGCATGCGACCGCGCGAAGTCGAGACGATCTCGGATGTTTTTCGGTGAGAGCCTGGGTTTCTTGGGCTGATGCACGGCGATCAGCCCCGCGGATCGTAATGAGTTCCGGACCGTCTTCGAGTCTACGGCGAGACCGTGCTTCTCCAACAACATATTTGCCGCTTCTACAGAGCTTTTCGCCTCGCCGCTTGTAATCGCGCGTACTATTCCGCGCTGGAGACGGGTAGTGATTAAGCGGGGGCGGCCGGCCGAAGGCATCGTAGGTCGCACCTCCTCGAGACTAGTCTCGGCAGCCACTTTCAAACTGTAATCGTGCACAGTGCTCTTGCCTATTCCAAGAACTTTGCCTATTTTCCTAGTCGAATGGCCCGCACGCAACATGCTTCTGATTCGCGCGCGTTTCCGCTCAGTTAACGGCTTCATGGCGATGCCGTCGTAGGCTCGCTTCCGGACTAACTCTTAAGCCAGCAACTATTGCGCGTTACGATGTACACACTGAGTGACCGGGGAAAATACATCTACTCTTCCGCTCGGTTGGAAATGTCCGCATCGACTGTCGAGGAGTAAATTTCAACCCCACTTTCAGGTTGTGACACAATTGCGCCAAGCAAGAAACGGTTGAAGCAGAACTCGGAAAACCTTGTAACGGAATGGAAAAAACCGGGTGTTACTATTTTCGAAACATGTGTGGCATAGCGTGCTGTTTCAAAGTGTTAAACATCCGGGCAATTTAATCCGCCACTGTATCGTCGTCTCGACGACCTCTTCCATCTCCTGTTCAGCCCTGCGTCGGACCTTCCTGACTGGCACAGCCTGGTACGTCGCCGTGTGCCGGTGTTTGAGATGGATATGGATCAGATTCGCTCTGCTTTGTATGTCATGTATGCTGAAAACTCTAGTGTGATTGGACCTTATAACCCTGTTTTGCCTAGTGTATGTGTGTCCACTGTGCATAATCTAGGCTCCCTTGCTACGTCAGGCGTAGGATCTCCTGATTTGTTTAGCCTAGGCTCCACGCTAGTGCCCCCACCGGCTGACGCTACCGCCGCGCTCTCCTTCATACTGAACTCTGGTGCGTCTGCATGTTTCTTTTGCAGCCACACTATGCTCTCGCCGTTTGCCGCCCCTGCCACTGTAGCACTTGCTGAACCCTCCTCAGGTCCAGTAGTTGTATGTAGCTCCACCACCCTTCCTTGTCCGGCGGTTCGCTCGGGCTCCCTTAAAGGCTTGCACATCCCCTCGTTCTCCAACAACCTAGTTGGTGTCGGCTGTCTTCAAGTCCTCGGCGTCACCACTACATTCCCTAGACACGAGTGGTACTCAGTCTGTACCGAGGCCGCCATTGGTGCCCCCACCACGTTCCGACCAAGTGTGGGGCATGTTCACGCTCGACACCGCGTCCTCCCGGTGGGGGCGTCCCCCCAGGTGGCCGTGCCTACTCAGGTCGCTGCGGCTTGCTCGTGTCGGTCGCTCACTCACCCGTCGCTTCTGTGGCACCACCGCCTGGGTCACCCCCACTCCCGCGTCTATGTGACATGTCCCAGCACGGTCTTGTCTTAGGCCTCCCTGCGTCGCTCCCTGCCCTACCTCCTTCGCCTGCACCTCCGTGCACGCCTCGTGTCGAGGGCCGGCTATGCCGTGCCCCTCATTCCTCCTTGTTCCCCCCACCACTGCGCCACTCCAGACCCTGCACTTGGACCTTTGGGGTCCAGCCCCTGTCCTCGGGCCGCGTCGCGAGCGCTACTTTCTAGTACTTGTCGATGACTTCACGCACTACACCATGGTGTTTCACCTGGAGCGAAAGGCCGACGTGCCTAACATTCTTATCCCGTGGGTCGTAGCTGCACGAGTACACCACGGCCTGTCGGTGCTTCGTCTCCACTCCGACCGTGGCGGTGAGTTCGCCTCTGGTCAGCTTGGCCAATCCTTGCGTGCAGAGGGCATCACCCAGTTGTACACCGTATCAGACTCCCCGCAACAGAATGGGGTCGCTGAGCAACGCATCGGTTTGGTCATGGAGGTGGCTCGTATCTCCATGATCCATGCCGGTGCACCCCACTTTCTGTGGCCGTTCGCTGTGCCGCTCACCAGCTTAACTTGTGGCCACACTCCCAGCGGCCGCAGGCGACGCGTTTGCGTTCCTCGTCTGGGGCTGCCTCGCTCATCTTTGTGCCTCTGGCACGGACAAGCTCATTGCCCGCACCGTCCCTTATGTCTTCCTTGGCTTCCCCTTATGACTGGCACTTTTACCACCGGCCGTCTCACCACTTCTTTCACTCGCGTGACGTCACATTTGACGAGTTTATCTCTTTCTAGTCCCTCTTTCCCCACCAAGTTCTCCCAGTTACCCTACCCTTGTTCCTTGTCCCCACTCCCCCGGTAGCTCTCGCTCCCCGTCCTGGCCCGTCTGGTATGTCTCACGTTACTCCCCTTCCCTCGGTTGCCTCGGCGGAAGATTCTGCTGACTCTGGGGGTGCTCGTCCTGGAGTTGCTGTCGTGGTGGGTCCTGGAGGTGGCCGTGTTGCAGTTGGAGGTTCTGGTCTGGGCGCGGAGCAGCAGCCGTAGTCACTGCCAGTGTCCGCCCTTCGCCTCCTCGGTCTTCCCTCCTACGACCGCCCGCCCGCGCCTCCCCCAGTGCTGCCTCCGCTGCCTGTCTACGGTCCTGTATTTCCTCCGTCGGACTCGTCCTCGGCTCGTTTTCCCTCTCGTTCTCCTCCTCTGTCTCCTTCTGTGTCTCCTGGCCCGACGCCTCCGTCCCACTTCTGGTCTCACCGTTCCTCTCGTGCTCGTCCTGTCTCCCCGGTTCAGCGTTCCCACCCTATGTTGCTCCGTTCTCAAGCGTCTCGTGCTCCTCTTCTCCCGTCGCCTCCTCAGTCATCGCTTGTTATCTCTCCGCCTCCTCTCCCTGACTTTCTTCGTGCGGCTAGTCCTCTTGTTCCTCGGGTCCTCGCCTCTCTTGTTACTGACCCGTCCGTTCCTGTCTCGAGTCTTGACGCTCTTGTCGCCGCCGTTACTGACTTTGCCGCTACCCGCCACCTTGACTACGCCACTGCTCTGGTATCTGACCCTGCCCGTCCTCCGCCGTCGGGGGTGCACCTGCCCTTGTAGTTGATGGCCGTTGGCTCTTCAAAGTGAAGCGCCCTCCTGGAGAGCCGCCGGTGCTCAAGGCGCGCTACGTTGCTAGAGGCTTCAGTCAGCGCGAGAGTGTTGTCACTTTTGATACCTTTGCCCCGACCCCAAAGATGACCACTCTTCGGGCACTGCTTCACGTAGCAGCATAGGGAGACTTCGAGTTGCACTCCCTCGTCTTCTCCACAGCGTTTCTCCAGGGCAGTCTGCACAAGCAGATCTACCAACGCCGACCGCCAGGCTTCTCTGGCTCTTTCCCTTCAAGGACCGAGTGGCTCATCCGGCGCCCGGTTTTCGGCTTGCGTCAGGCACCCTGTGGGTGGCACAACACGATTCGTGCTATGTTAGCAGACTTGTACTGTACTTCTTCCCGTCTTCTGCTGACCCTTCCCTCTTCGTTCGCTCAGGCCAGACTACGTTCTACATCCTAGTCTACGTAGACGACTTGGTCTTTGCTACTGCAGACAGAGACGCACTGGCCTCAGTGAAGGCCGAGCTGCTGAAGTGACACACCCACACTGACCTAGGAGAGCTACGCCGCAACCTTGGCCTGCAGATCTCCAGGGACAGAGCAGCGTGCACCATCACTCTCACCCAGTCACACTTGGTGCGCCAGGTCCTTCAGAGGTTCGGCCTTCAGTTCTCCTCCGCACAGCCTACACCTCTGCCAGTAGATTACAGGCTCTCGGCTCCGGTCCCCGAGGAGCCGGTTGAGCCCAGTGGTCCGTACGCAGAGCTTGAGGGCTGCCTCATGTACCTGATGACTTGCACTCGTCTGGTTCTCGCATACCCTCTTATTATCCTAGCTCGCTTTGTGACGTCAGGCAGACACCGACCTCAGCACTGGCTGGCCGCTAAGAGGGTTTTGCGTTATCTAGCAAGTACATCGGGCACGGGGCTAGTGCCGGGAGGATGCAGGTCAGTGGTCCTTACAGGGCACACAGACGCCTCATGGGCGGACGACGCTGAGACGCTTAGGTCCTCCCAGGGCTACTGCTTTAGCCTTGGTGCAGGCACCATCTCGTGAAGGTCCACCCGCTCTTCGTCTGTTGCTAAGTCCAACTGCGAGGCTGAGATTTACGCTGGTGCCATGGCTGACCTTCTTGCTCACAGACTTAGGTGAGCGGCCTAGCTCTGCCCCGGTCCTGTACGCTGACAACAAGGCCATGATCCTCCTGCGTCAGGAGCCTCGACTAGAGGGTAGAGCGAAGCACATCCAGCTGCGGTACTTCCTCATGCGCGAGCTACAGCAGCGCCGCTAGGCCCGCATAGTACAGTTGACCTCCAGTGATAACACAGCTGATATCTTTACTAAGGCGCTTGCGCCTAAAGATCATCAGCGGCACTGTGTACAGCTTGGTCTCGTTCCAGTAGCTCCTCACTTGCTAGGACCCTGATTGTGTACTACTCCTTATATTATCTTGACTGGCCGACTCTTGTTCCAGTGGCTGGACTAGTAGTGCCGCCCTGGTTTACTCTTGTTCAGCTTGTACTGTTGCTGACTGGTCTTCAGACCCTTTCCTCAGATGTTGGACTCGTAGTGCCACCCTGAGCTGCGTGTCCCTTGCCTGGCACTGCCCCTCATCTAGCCTAGGGGTGTGTCAAACATATGTGTATATGTTACTATAGGCTAGATAGGTTGGTACTCTTCTTAGAGAGTACAACCCCTTAGCACAAAACCACCATGTATCTCTCATTCTAGTCAATTCACTACTCTGGACCGTTGGACTGGTAGTGCCGCCTTGAGCGGCACTGCCTCTTGTCTAGCCTATAGGGTGTGTCAACATATACATACTTGCATATGTAGCAATTCTAGGCTAGAAGGATTCGTGCTCTTAGAGAGTACAACACCCAACCACATATTCCCCTGTATCCGTCATTTCTACTGTGAGATACTGAACTCTGCACATCAGAAACTGTTAAGAGGAGAAAGGGCGCTAAATTTCAGTGGCCCAAATGTGGATAGGATATGTACTCACAAAACATGTGTATTAATTGAATGCACCCCCTACATAAACAAGTCGTGTTTTTCATGTGCTTATCCTTGAGCAGTTGAGAGACTCATTGCAGGCCCAAACCGACGAGTGGGCACTATTTCAAAAGATCCTGCAAAAAAAATGGCAATGAAACGAACATGGGATATATGAGATTGTACCGTAGAAGTTAGAAGCTTTTATTCGATCAGGAAAACGAAATATAGATAACGGATTTGGCACTCACTAGGGTGGGTGCGCATGCGTCACCGGCGAAAGACACACCACCACCTCCTGTACCCATATCTCCGAACCCTCCTCCCATCCCCGTGCCAAGCGGGGAGCGAGTGGCCATGGGACGGAGTGGAAGCATGCACAGAAGTGAGGGCGGAGGGAGGGAAGGCGGAGAGGGAGAGATGGAGGCGGGAGGAATGTTCTGAGAAGCCGAGGGAGGTGGTGGGGGGGATGGAGGAAGGTGGAGGGATGGAGGAAGGTGGAGGGATGGAGGAAAGTGGAGGGATGGAGGAAAGTGGAGGGATGGAGGAAAGTGGAGGGATGGAGGAAGGTGGAGGGATGGAGGACAGTGGAGGGATGGAGGAAAGTGGAGGGATGGAGGAAAGTGGAGGATGGAGGACAGTGGAGGGATGGTGTGAGGAACAGAGGAGGATGAATGGGGGGATGGAGGACGGATGTCGTGTGGATGGGGGCAAGGAGGAATGAGTAACGGACACCTGGCGTGCAGCTGCTGCTCCTGCTGCTGCTCCTGCTGCTGGTGGTGGTGGTGGTGGTGCTGCTGTTACGCTTTCATGTTGTCCGAAAGAATCACGCTCCCCATGGCATGGTGGCCCTCGAATGAGGCGCAGCCCTCCATCGGAGCAAACAAGTCATTCAGCTCGTCCCCCGGCTCAGGCATTTGGGGCTCAGGCATATGGGGTGCATGCATATGGGGCGCATGCATGTGGGGCGCATGCATGTGGGGCGCATGCATGTGGGGCGCATGCATATGGGGCGCATGCATGTGGGGCGCATGCATATGGGGCCGTGCATGCATGCATGGGTCCGGCATGTGGGGCGCATGCATGTGGGGTCAGGCATGTGGGAACTCATGTGATGCGGCATGCGTGGACCCATGTGCGCACCCATGGGATGGGGCATGCGTGCATGCATGGGCTCAGGCATGCTCGGCATGTACTCCGGCGGCATGGTATTATTGAAGGTGCCGCCGCCCATGGCTGTATTAATGGTAGCCCTGTGACTCATGTCACTCGCCATGCCACCATGCCTGCACTGCCTCCCATCCCTCCTCCTCCTCTTCCTCCTTCCATACTTCCTCCTCCTCTTCCACATTCCATCCCTCCTCCTCTTCCTCCTTCCACCCCTCCTCCTCCTCCTCCTCCTATCCCTCCTCCTCCCATCCCTCCTCCTTCCATCCCTCCGCCTCTACTCCTCCTCCCATCCTCCCCCTCCTCCCATCCCTCCACCTCCTCCTCCTCCTTTCAGACCTCCCCCTCCTCTCATCCTCCTCCATCTCCCACGTCTCCGCCATCATCATCATCATCATCATTGATTCACCATCCTCTGACCCCATCACCCCCCACTCTCCCGTACCTCCCCCCCTACCTCCCCCATATCTCCCTCCATGCCTCCCACATTCCTCCCCCCAGTCCTTCTCCCATACCTCCTCCCATACCTCCTCCCAACCCTCCTCCAACCCTCCTCCTGTATCCCTCCTGTGCTCATCATACCTCGTCCCATTCCTCTTCCCCAGCCTCTTACCATACCTCTCCCCATGCCTCCTCCCATGCCTCCTCCCATGCCTCCTCCCATGCCTCCTCCCATGCCTCCTCCATGCCTCCTCCCATGCCTCCTCCCATGCCTTCTCCCATGCCTTCCCCCAAACCTCTAACCATACCTCTTTCCACCCCTCGTCCATACCTCTATACTGTGGCTATCCTGCTGCACCATACCTGTTCCCGTATTCATTTCCATGCCTGTTCCCATGCCTGTTTCCATGCCTGTTTCCATGCCTGTTTCCATACCCCAATGTGAAGCCCCCGTCATGTCTCCTTCCATCCTACCTCCTGTCACCTCTCCTCCTCTTCTCCTCGTCTTTCTTCCCCTCCCATTCCCCTCCCATTCCCCCTCCCATTCCCCTCCCATTCCCCCTCCCATTCCCCTCCCATTCCCCTCCTGCCCCTCCTCCTCCTCCTGCTCCCCCTCCTGCCCTCCTGCTCCTGCTCCTCCCATCATACCTGCATCCATATCTCCAGCCCAGATGACATCTCCGCCTGCTGCTCCTCCCCCTATGTCCCCTTCCCCCATGCCTCCCCCCATGCCTCCCCCCATGCCCCCTCCTCTCACATCCCATGCCCCCATGCCATCTCCCCCAAAGCTCCCCATACCATGCGCCCTAGTATCCTACTCATTAGCGCATCTTCACTCCCCCCATTCCCCCCATTCCCCTCATCCTCCCCCGCACCACCCCCACCTCATGACCCCCCCCTGCCAGGCCTTCCCCAGCCCTCTTCCTCCCCCCTCCCTTCCCCCTGCAACCCTCATCCCCCCTCCGCCTCCCCCTCCCATACCCTCTTCCCCCCCCTCAGCAGCAGAATTAACAGCACCAGCAACACCGGCAGCAGCATTAGCAGCCGCACCACCACCACCACCCGCACCAGCACCAGCACCACCAGCACCGACACCAGCACCAGAACCAGAACCAGCACCAGCACCAGCACCAGCACCGGCACCAGCACCGGCACCAGCACCAGCACCAGCAGCACTAGAAACACCAGCAGCACTAGCAGCAGCAGCACCGCCCATCTTCATAACCCTCAATGCCCCTTGAATAGTGGCCCGACCCATCATCATAGCAGCAAAACTACTCCTGACTGCTCCTCCCCTTCCCCTCCCTCTTTCCCCCCCTCCTCCCCCTCCTCCCCCTCCTCCCCCTCCTCCCCCTCCTCCCCCTCCTCCCCTCCTGCAGCTCCTGCTGCTCCTGCCGTTCCTCCCTCTCCTCCTCCCTCTCCTCCTCCCTCTCCTCCTCCACCTCCTCCTCCTCCACCGCTCCCACCCACTCCTGACCCTCCTGCTCCTCCTTCCTGGTTGAAAACTTGGTCCGAGGATTGGTGGGTGGCTTGGTAATAGTTGGCTTGATGATTAGCTTGGTAATTGGCTTGGTGATTGGCTTGGTAATCGGCTTGGTAACTGGCTTGGTTTGGAACGACACTTCCATACGCAAGCAGGCTGGAAATCGAGCGTGTGTTTCCCGATTCTCCCATGCCCCCCATGCCGCCCGCGTTCCCCATGCCGCCCGCATTCCCCATGCCGCCCGCATTCCCCATGCCGCCCGCATTCCCCATGCTGCCCACGTTCCCCATGCCGCCCGCGTTCCCCGTGCCGCCCGCATTCCCCATGTGGTCAGTAGAAGGCACGTCAGTGAGAGCAACCGTGCTGGTGGAGTTGACGTGGGTAGTGGATGGGAGGTTCGCCTGGGGGAGGTTCTGGTGGTTGGGGGTGGCTTGAGGCCCTTTGCATGCCGGCCTGTGGCGGTCGAGCTCGTGCCTGGAAGGGGGAAGGGAGGGGGAGAGGGGTGGGGGTTCGGGCGGAAGCAAGGCGGGGGGAGGAGGGGGGGGATATTAGGGTAGTATATAGGCTGGGGAGGAGTGCTGGTGCTAGGGAGAGCCAGAAGGTCCTTTGCATGCCGCCGGTGCCGGTCAAGCTCGTGCCTGGAAGGGGGAAGGAAGGGGGAGAGGGGTGGGGGTTCGGGCGGAAGGGAGGCGGGGGGAGGGGGGGGGGGGGGGGGGGATATTAGGGTAGTTTATAGGCTGGGGGTTGCTGGTGGTAGGGAGAGCCAGAAGCTCCTTTGCGCCAGCCTGTGGCGGTCTAGTTCGTGCCCGGAAGGGGGGAGGGAGGGCGAGAGGGCTGAAGGGGATAGGTGGGGTTAGCAGAGGGTCCTTTGCATGCCGGCCTGTGGCGGTTGAGCTCGTGCCTGGAAGCGAGAGAGGGGTGGGGATTTGGGGTGGCGGTATGGGGGAGGGAGGAGGGGGGTGTGCATCATATCTCCAAGGCAAGACCTCACCTGTGGGGGAATCGAGTGCTGCTCGAGTCGCAGGGGTGCTGGAAGTCCTCCCTTCGATCATGTGCCAGGCTGTACTTCTCATGCTTGTTCATCTTGCCCCCGCATGACAAAGTACAGCACCAAGGCAAGCCTAAACGGTAAGTAATTTTGCCTGTCGGGGAAGCGGGTCCCACATGAGTCGCACGGGTGCTTGAGGTCCTCCCTGCGTTTATGCGCCAGGCTGTAATCTTGTGGTTGCTCATCTCTCTCGTGCTAAGACAAGCTTGGGACAACAGCTCACCTGCGGGGGAAGCGAGTGCCACACAAGTCATACGGGTGCTTGAAGTCCTCCCTGCGGTTATGCGCCAGGCTGTACTTCTTGTGGTTGCTCATCTTCCCAGCGTCGTGCATCTTTGAGACCCTTGAGCGAAACAGAGCTTCTGAGACAAGCCTAGGTGGTAATCGGACCCACCTGCGGGGAAAGCGGGTCCCACACGAGTCGCACGGGTGCTTAAAGTCCTCCCTGCGGTTATGTGCCAGGCTGTACTTCTTGTGGTTGCTCATCTTCCCAGCGTCGTGCGTCTTGAAGTCGCAGGATGACCCGTCGACGCGCACCAGGTTGCACTCGTACAGGCGGGCCGTCTTGCTGTGGACCTGCAAGCAGGGAGAGGCAGGAGAAACGCAGGGAGGAGAGGCAAAGGACTTGAAATCGCAGGACGACCCATCGACGCGCACCAGATTGCACTCGTACAGACGGGCCGTCCTGCTGATCTTGCGGCTTGCCCGAGCAACAAGATGTACAAGACACTCTTACGTCTTCTTGCCCCCAGGTGGCAGGCGCTAGGCACAGGAACCGCCCCTGTCATCCCTTCCATCCATCCCATACCCTTCCACGACGGCTCAAACCTTTCTCCCCTTGGCAAAGTGCTTCTTCAGGTTGAATCTTCTCACACGGCACGTGCAACTTCTAATGAATCTTCTCACACTGTGCGTGCATCTTCTAGTGCATGTTCTCACACTGTGTGTGCATCTTCTAATGCATCTGCTGCCGTCCATTGGTGTTTAAGACAGTCATATTCCCGATCACCTTGGCAAAGTGCTTGTTTATGTTGTCTCTATTCCCGTTTGTCTTCTCACACCCAGGCGCCAGCCACGACAACTGCCCTACAGGCCTTTCCAACCCTTCCACTGCCATGGTGATTTTTTAGTCGACTCAACAATCACCCACGACAATTGCCCTGCAGGCCTTTCCAAGTTCCAACCCGGGTGATTTTTGAGTCGACTCAGCAATCACCCACGACAACTGCCCTGCAGGCCTTTCCAACCCTTCCACTCCCATGGTGATTTTTGAGTCGACTCAACACAGTATCGGCTGCTAGGGCTAGGCACCCTAGTATCGGCTAGGCACCCTAGTATCGACTAGGCACCCTAGTATCGGCTAGGCACCCTAGTATCGGCTAGGCACCCTAGTATCGGCTAGGCACCCTAGTATCGGCTAGGCACCCTAGTATCGGCTAGGCACCCTAGAATCGGCTAGTTATCCTAGTATCGGCTAGTTATCCTAGTATCGGCTAGTTATCCTAGTATCGGCTAGTTATCCTAGTATCGGCTAGTTATCCTAGTATTGGCTAGTTATCCTAGTATCGCCACACAAACACAGACCAGACCAGAACCTCCCCTCACCTTGGCAAAGTGCTTGTTCTTGTGGTCTGTGTTCATGTACATCTTCTCACACCCAGGCGCCAGGCCCTTAGGCGAACAAGCCTTTGAGGCGCCTCAACAAATATGCCCAGGCCAGGCAGGCACTACCCTCTCACCTTGGCAAAGCGCGTGTTCATGTTCCTCGTGAACGTCTTCTCACACCCAGGCGCCAGACACAGGAACTGCGGGCCCTTCCACCCCTTCCATTCCATACTCTCTAAAGAGGCTTCAAACCTCCACCCACCTTGGCCAAGTGCTTGCTCATGCTGTCTCTGTTCTTGTCCTCCAAATCACACCCAGGCGCCAGATCCTTGAGCGGACTTCTATCCATGCACGTTGAAGCACATGTCAGAAGCATACCTTCGTGTTGTCCATCCCGAAGTGCTTGCTCATCTTGTCCATCCCTGTTCTTGTGCGTCTCCTCACACCCACCCACGTGTTGCTGATACTGGTAACTGGCGCACTACCTTTGAGGCGCGTCAGCAATTTTGCCTGGGACGGGCGGGCAGTACCCTCTCACCTTGGCAAAGTGCTTGTTCATGTTGTCTCTGTTCTTGTACGTCTTCTCACACCCGGGCGCCAGGCACGGGAACCGCCCCTCTCCCCCCTCCCCAGCAGCAGCACCACTTGCATCCACAGCAGCAGCAGCAGCAGCAGCCACAGCAGCACACGCCACCACCATCCCTCCACCACCGCTTTCCGGAACTGTCTGGTGCACACCAGCACCACCACCACCAGCACCATTAGCACCCACGGCAGCAGCAGCAGCACCACCACCACCACCACCATTAGCACCCACGGCAGCAGCAGCAGCAGCATCACCACCACCACTTGTCACAATCACGCCATCAACTCCACCCACCGTCTCCCCAACCCCACTTTCGGGAATCGCCCCACCACCCGTGCCACTAGCAGGCGCTGCTGACCTGTCACCACCTGTAGTAACTAGGGCCCTGCGATGACTTCCCCCCATCGCTTCCCCTTGAGACGCCCCCACCACGTCACCCCTGGTCGCCACCGCCAATCTCTCGCCCTCCCCAGTGGGAAGCACCGTCAGCACATCTGCAGGCGCTCTCATGATACTTGCAGCTGCGGCTGCCATGAGCCCACCACCACCACCACCACCACCACCAGCAGACGCTGCTGCTGCTGCCACGGCATCAGGGGGTGCTGCTGCCACGACTAACACCCCTTCTGCATCCCCTCCCCCCTCCATCTCTCCTCTTTCTCCCTCCCTCACTACCTCATCCCTACCCGCCCCTGTCTGCCTTTCCCCACCACTATCCCCCCCTCCTGCTCCCCTCTCTCCTGTCGCCACTCTAGTACCTCCACCCCTCGCCTTGCAGCACCGCTCTGCACCACAGCAGCAGACTCAACCTGCTTTCTACTTTCTGAGCGGCTAGGCCAACCGTCTCCATTCGTCCCAACCATTTCTGCTCTTGCTGCCACTGCCGCCACCGCAACCGCCGCCGCCGCAGCCGCTGCCGCTGCTGCTCCTCCTGCTCCTCCTCCTGCCCCTCCTCCTGCTCCTCCTCCTGCCCCTCCTCCTTCTCCCCCTGTTCCTTCACCATCTGCTGCCGCTCCCCTCCATGCAGGGGTTGCGAGACCGTTTCCAATACCACTATCAACCTCCCGCTCCCCATCCCCCTCCTCTCCCCATCCCCCCTCCTCTCCCCATCCCCCTCCTCTCCCATCCCCCCTCCTCTCCCCATCCCCCCTCCTCTCCCCATCCCCCTCCTCTCCCCATCCCCCTCCTCTCCCCATCTCCCCTCCTCTCCCCATCTCCCCTCCTCTCCCCATCTCCCTCCTCTCCCCATCTCCCCCCTCCTCCCCATCACCACCTCTTCGCCCTCCACCACTCTCACCTCCACCCACTTCCCCTCCCCTCCCCCACTCCCTCCCCCACTCCCTCCCCCACTCCCTCCCTCCTTCCCTCCGCATCTCCCTCCCCACCTCCCTCTCCCCTTCCCTCCTCCCCTCCCTTCCCCCCCGCCTCTCAAGTGCTTCCTCATAGGCACAGCGGATACAGTCACAGTCACCTCGCCCATCCGAGACCCACTACCCAGGGAGCCCACACCCACCAACTCCCCTCGCTCCTCCTCCTCCTCTCTCTCCCGCTTCACCCCTATCAGCTTGATCCTCGCCTTGTGGGAAACATGCGGCAGGAAAGCATTGTTAGGGGAGGCATCGGAGGCATGCTGTGCTAAAGCACGCTCGTGGGAAGGCTGCTGAGTGTAGGTGTTCGCCGCAGGGGGACCCAGGACATGGGGAGACGCATTGGCATCAGACGATTGGCAACCGAAAGCAGCATTCCCAGAGGGGATATGCTCTTCCCTGCCTCGGGGGACAACCCCTGCCTGTCGATCCTCGGGCCTTCTTTGGTTGGCAGGTGATGCTGCAGCAGCAGCAGCATCAGCATAAGTAAACGCACCACCAACACCAGCAGCAGCAGCCGCAGCACCAGCACCAGCACCAGCACCAGCACCAGCACCAGCACCAGCACCAGCACCAGCACCCGCAGCACTAGATCCAGAACCAGCACCAACAGCACCGGAAGCAGCAGCAGCAGCAGCAGCAGTAGAACCAGCAGCAGCACTCCCAGCACTAGAACCAGCACCAGCAGCAGCGCCAGCAGCAGCAGCAGCACCAACCCCAGCGGCATCAGCTGTAGCACCACCAGTGGCCTCACAACCCCCTTCCAAAGCACCCACCCGCCCTTGCAGTTGGGTTAGTTGAGCGGCCGGCAGCGGTGTTAGCTCTTCAGCACTTGAATCCGGGAGAGCCCGGGCAGCAGATGCAGCAGGGGTTGCAGGAGCAGAGCACGTCTCAGAAGCCCCAGCAAAACCACCTGAAAAACCACCTGGGAAACCGCCTGGGAAACCGTCCGATAATCCGCCAGCCCTGTATTCTGCACGAGCGGCTGTAGCAGCAGAGCCAAGACGGGGACCAGCAGCGGCTGTAGCATGAACCCTAGTGAAGATTGTACCGGGGATAGGTCGAGTGGAGGGCGGTGGGAGTGAGGAGGAGCGGTGGCGGAGGGTTGATGGTGGCATGTGTGAAGTATCCATGGGCTGACATGCATCCATGGCTTCACATGCATCAGCAGCATCCCCACTGGCATATACATCAGCATCACCGCCAGTACCACCACCATCACCACCAACATTGCCATTTCTCTCTTCAAGAGGCACCGGCCTATCGTCAAACCTATTACCAGACCTGGTGCCGGACCTACCACCGGGCCTATTACCGAACCTAGCAGCAGGTGAAAGCCCACCTTCCCCTTGGCCCCCCTGATTGTCATCACCGGAGCTTCCATAGGCGTTCCGAGCCTGGCCACTCCCCCGCTCAGTATGGGCGCTAGCGTCACCGGCTCGGGGGCTATTATCCCGGGTGTTGACGCGGGAAGAATTGTTTGGATCAGGGTTGCTGGAACCGGGATGGGGAGAGTTGCTGGCGCGGTGGTTGCCATCCCTAGCTGCTGCTGATGCTGCTGCGTTCTCCTGGCCCTGCAGCCATGGGGGAATGGAGAAGCGTGAGTGGGCGGGACAGGGCAAGAGTGGGAAAAAAAGGGGAGGGGGGGGGGGGGGGAAGAGGACATTTAACATGGGGATGGTTGGTGGGAGTTGGAGCCGCCGTGGTTGCCATCCATCCCTAGCTGCTGCTGCTGCGTTCTGCTGCCCCTGCAGCCACCGGGGAATGAAGGACCTGACGAATGGAACCGGGAAGAGAATAATTTTTTGGGTCGGGATTGCTGGAACCGGGGTGGTGGGAGTTGGAACCGCTGGGATTGGGAGAGTTGGCAGCGGCGTGATTGGCAGCCCTAGCTGCTGCTGCTGCGTTCTCCTGACCCTGCATGCAGCCACGGGGGAATGGAGAACCGTGAGAAGAAGGGACATGGAATGGGAGGGGGGGGGAGGAAGGGGACATGTAACATTGGGAAGGTGAGAGTTGGCGGCGGCGTGGTTGCCGTCCCTGGCTGCTGCTGCGTTCTCCTGACCCTGCAGCCACGGGGGAATGGAGAAGCGTGCGTGGAAAGCAGCCACGGGGAAATGGAGAAGCGTGAGTGGAAAGGAGGAGGACGGGCGGGACGGGAGGGGGATATTCAGAAACGGGATTGGGAGTGTTGGTGCGTGATTGCCAGCCCTAGCAGCAGCCCACATGTATGCTTTCCACATGCACACACAAGAGCACTCACACAAGCACACACAAACATGCACACACACACATGCACACACATGCACACACACAAGCACACACACAAGCACACACACATGCACACACACAAGCACACACACAAGCACACACACATGCACACACAAAAGCACACACACATGCACACACAAAAGCACACACACAAGCACACACACAAGCAAACACACAAGCACACACACACATGCACACACACAAGCACACACACAAGCACACACACACGCACACACACATGCTCACACACAAGCACACACACAAGCACACACACATGCACACACACAAGCACACACACAAGCACACACACACATGCACACACACAAGCACACACACAAGCACACACACACGCACACACACATGCTCACACACTAGCACACACACACATGCACACACAAGTGCACTCACACAAGCACACACACACATGCACACACAAGAGCACTCACACAAGCACACACAAGAGCACTCACACAAGCACACACACACATGCACACACATGCACACACACAAGCACACACACAAGCACACAAACATGCACACACACTTGCACACACACAAGCACACGCACAAGAGCACACACACACATGCACACACAACACAAGTACACACAAGAGCACTCACACAAGCACACACACACATGCACACACAAGAGCACTCACACAAGCACACACACACATGCACACACAAGAGCACTCACACGAGCACACACACACATGCACACACAAGAGCACTCACACAAGCACACACACACATGCACACACACACATGCACACACAAGAGCACTCACACAAGCACACACACACAAGCACGCACACATGCACGCACACAAGCACGCACACAAGCACACACACAAGCACACAAACAAGCACACGCACACATGCACACACACAAGCACACACAAAAGCACACACACAAGCACACACACAAGCACACACACAAGCACACACACACATGCACACACACACATGCACACACAAGCACGCACACAAGCACGCACACAAGCACACACACACAAGCACACACACACATGCACACACACAAGAGCACACACACACAAGCACACACACAAGCACACACAAGAACACGCATACTACTCACCAGTCGAACCAGGTTGGTGCCCGCTTCCTTCAGCACCGCTTCGATCCGTCTCAGAACCTGCAAGGAGCACGGAAAACAACGTTACTGCCAGCCCACTTCTCAACAAGTCCTCCTCTCAGCGCCTCACGACTTGCTTCAGCAGAGCTCTATCCGTCCCAGTTCTCCTTTTGAGTTCACTCTAGGCTAACGCTTGCTGCAGGAGCAGGCCTGGCCCCAAGTGGCAAACACTACACATCACACTTAGCTAAGCATTACTTACATCAGCTGTCTGTGCCCTGACCTCCACCATCGATACGTTTGCGAGCATCTAGGTGTTGGGGGGGGGGGGGGGGGGGGAGATGATGAGACGTGCAATGCAACACAGCAAGAGAGGGGGGTAGCAAAACGCGCAGAAGTTTAGACAAGCTGTCGGTGCTTTGAACTTCACCATCCATACACTCGCGAGCATTTACGGAGGGAGAGCAGAGCAATAGAGAGAGGGCAACAGCGGGGGCGAGGGAGAAAGGAAAAAAATAGAGCAACAAACGGAGCGTGGAAGGAGTAAGAAAGAGAGAAGGCGAAGGGAAAACGGCCGCACTGCTAAAAGACGGACACCTGAGACGCGTGAATGGCAAGAGGAACGCGAGGCAGCATGCATTCGACGAGACACCCACTCAGGGGGCTGCACCGGGGGCAGCAAGCGTGCCGACTGATTGCACACGCAAACGTCCAGCGTTGTGCTACATGCTGCATTCTGCTGCTGACAGGCGAACAGCTCAGGCCCCATGCAAGCACAGGGCGCACGGTGGGGTGCATACACCCTAGCACACGCGCGTACAGTAGGGTGCATGCTGCCAGCAGGGATACATACAGCGGGGTCCATGCAGAGGCAGCCAGAGACGAGGACGAAACCCCCCGACCGAACCATCTCTTCCTCTCTCCCAATGCTCCTGGTGAGGGGGGGGAGAAGGGGAGAGCGGGAAAAGAGCAGGAGTAACAAGGTGCCTTTTGAGTCGACTCAAAAGTCACCTCGTTACAATGTCACACAACACCTTCGCTTGAAGGGGGGAGCGGGAAAAGAGCAGGAGGAACACAGAGCATGTGCAGCTGACTGTGACGGCAGACGAAGTGAATCACCTCTTCTGGCGACAAAACACGACCGACCCATCAGCACAGCAGCATGCGCTAGTACCAAATAAGCCACTCACTAGTAGCTACTCACTCTGACGACGGCGGTGCAGCTTGCGCTTCCCCTCCTTCCCCTTCCCCGCCTTCCCCTTCCCCGCCTTCTCCTTCGCCTCCTCCCCCTTCTCCTCCGTCTCCTTCCTGCACGGCTGCTGCCGCGTACGACACCTCTTCAGGCGACGGCGAACGGGCGTAGTACCGCCGGCGGTCCTCCTCCTCCTCCTCCTCAGTCGGCATTCTGAGTCGGCGATCCTCACGGGAACCAGAGTCAGCAATTCCTACCCCACCGCCGTCACGCGGCGACGCACCGGCGCCCGCGCCTGTGTTAGGTGACCTCAAGAGGGAACGCCGGAGTCACGCGGCCGTGGCGACGAACCGCGACGGCGACGAGAAATCGCACGCGACGACGAGCACGGGGCCGTCGCAGAAGCGACCGAGACGCGGAAGCTGCGGCGACGACACGGCACGACACGACGAGACACGACGCGACCGGCGCGTCGGAAAGCAAGCGCAGGATGGACACCTAGCAGTCGAAACGAGAGGCACGCGGCGACCGGCGCATCGAGAGCAGCCACGTCGTTGCGACCAAGTGGCACGTCAGAGCAAGTGCCGCGGGATGGACACCGAGCAGTCGAAACGAGAGGCGTCGCGCGATCGGCGATCACGTCAGAAGGGATGCGATCATGCGGCGATCGACGAGGCATCGGACGACCGGCGGCGCGTCGGAAGCAAGCAACCGCACGATGGACACACGCGATGGGTACTATCCGCGCTGGGATTTGAGTGGTACTTGAATCCGGGAAGCTGAATTCGGCTGCTTTCGTCCGTTTCAGGAACCGTTACAAGAGAAAAGGACGAATTGGGCGGCCTGCTAATGTAGGAAAAAACTGCATTTTTTTGCCTTTCGATACTCTTCAGTGTAACGTTTCGAGCTCTGAGACGACTCACGTCGCTAGCCGCCATTCGCGTCGCGAGCTTTTGATCTAACACTCCATTGTTGCACAAAGGTAATCGATCGTATTCGGCTCGTTGCGTAGCGGCCCACCGCGAACCAAAAGCTAAGATTCCACTACCTCAAAAAAAATTCCTACTAGGTCCAGAGGCTAAGATCGGTGCTCTCGATTTCTGACGTTCTGTGAAAACTCCTGGTAAAAAACAGCTCGGTTTTTTTCTGCGAAACGAGAACTATTCAGAACTAATAAGTAGTACTATTCAGAACTACTAAGTAGTACTATTCAGAACTACTAAGTAGTACTATTCAGAACTACGAAGTAGTACTATTCAGAATGTCTACTAGCAGTTGAGGGAAAAAAAAATCTCGCTGCGGAAAAAGAGGACTCGTTTGCCTGACAAGTTGTCGCTGAACCGTACAAGCAAACGCCAATAGTGCTTCGGCACGAAAGAGAAGTGCTAGTCACACGCAAGTGCACGGCTTTCATAGGAAATACGTGATCTAAGTTGAGTGTCCCACAGTGCTGAGATGCAACCTGCTAGAGCTACAACAACAGAAAGAAATGGAGAGGGAGGAGTGATGGCTACTACAACTACAACCCAGCCACAACCCTAGCTTCCCTTGCCGCACTGCGGCTGTCCCTTCCTGCTTTCTGCTGGGCTTTGCTGAGTCTGAGGAAGAATGTCATCTGCCGCTTGTCAGGGAGAATTCCTTCGTGATATTCCGATTCATCTCCAAGCATTATTGGAATTGAGTTAGCTGAGGCCTGATGATAATGTGGAGCTTAGAGCGTACCAGAAACGTTCCATACATGCGTGACCAGCTTGTGTTCCTCCAAGAAAGTCTTGACCGCAGAAACTTGGGTTTGGTGTGACTGTGTGAAGGGGGCTTCCTTGTGGGCATGATTGTGACGAGAATCTCACCCTGCCCCTGTGTCTTGAACTGGTTCCTTCTCTGCCGTCAGATTCAAGATTGCCGTAGCCAGATCGGCGGTGCTTGTGGTTCTCGAATATCCCTCGACGATCCTTGGCGCACATGGAGGGTGCGTCTGACCTTCAACGAAAATGTTCGTGCGATTGTCCAGTCTGTACAATTCGCAGAGATGATTGGATGGAAATGGAAACCCAGAAAAACACGTGTGCACATGAAGTCCTTTTCAAGCCCAGTTGTTTTCGGAGCGGGTAATCCAGAATCGAGCTCAGAACTTTCACGGGCGAAATGGGCCAAGGTAGGCTTGTCTGGTTACCTAATTGGCATTTTTCAGTCTAAAGTGGGTGACCATTGTTGTTTCTTTTGCGTTCTTCGGGCAACGTCTGTACGTTTGGAGGTCTCAGTATCAGATGTGTGTAACTGATGGAGATCATTGGGCCTCTGTGGGTTGGGCCGTTACCCGTAAATTTCGAGCCAATGGGCATGTAAATGGGCGATTGGCGTCTAATGAATAGGCGGTTCACTGGACTAAAGACGTACCAGAAAGTTTCTGCCCGAAAGCACGTGCTGCCCCGACGTGCATCATGCAATTCAGCAGCTACGATCCTATTGTACACATGGTGCCCGCCGGAGGCCTAGCTCAATACGTGGCCCAATCAGGTACCATCGCCCATTAGCGTTCTCACACGGGCAACGGCCCACTCAACGTGGGCCGTGAACAGAGCCAGCAGTGCAGCGTCATCATGACAGCGGTGACAAACATGCGGCACAAGACGAAAGATGTGCGCCGCAACCGTTTTCGCCACAAACTTCCAGCCGCGCTCGGAATAGCGCTCCGGCGAAGGTCAGCGAGCCTTTCGTTGAGCTCGCAAAATTACACACGCCTCGCTGGGTTTGTTTGTGGCTTGAGCGTCGCCGCATGAAACCGAACGCTGACTTGGCAGCGAAATGGAGTCACGATGTCCCGATGCCAGGGATCGTTCTCAACATCCGACAGCCAACCCAGGAACAGACTCGAAAACAAATTCCCACAATCCACGCAGTAGTTATTGTTGCGACACGAACCTTCAGTTCGTAATGTAAGAAATATTTAGAACACGCCCGTAATATTTGGAGCTGAAATGCGACTCCAACACCTCACCCCATTACTCTGAGTATAAAAGGGAGCAAACCAAACCAGAAAAAATCACTCAACATCTCACCCGCCAACCACCACTCTGGTGCTACACCAGAGAAACTCACTCTCGCTTGAAAGCGCCGAAACTTAACATAGGGTAACTAAGTGAACAATGGCTCGCCAAAATATGCCACTCAAACCTACCCCGCAAAACATCAAAATGGTAACCTTCGTGCCCGTGCGAAAGGCCCACATGCCCGTGACGATGCCGTGCGAAACCCGTGCGCGTTTTTGTCTACCGGCACCCTGAAAAGTTGTGTTCCTCTGTCAGGCTCAAGGTGTACAGGCCCGAGAATCATCATCGTACGAGCCAGGTGCTGCCAGGTTGCCATGTGCTTGGGGAAGTGATGAATGAAAGCAGGAAGCACGTGCCAATCGCTGTAGCGAAACCTACGGCCGTTGTATGCTGCGAACCCCGATTTCTTTTATCGGGTGAGATTCGTAACGGGGGGCAATTGATGTGTTTCTTTTCTGCCAAATAACACCATTGAACATATATTTACGTACAGTGGTGCACACTTCCAGCCATGTACCAAGGACACAAAACCTCATTTGCGCATAAATGCATGACTTCCATCCCGGCATCGAACTTATCAGCACCGTGCCTCCTAAAACCCATTTTCAGGGTCTTCGTAGGTCTACGTGCACATATGTACACTGAGGGAAAAAACCGTCCGGATGTTTGGCAATAAGTTGGGTTTTTAGGCATTGAGACTACTGTATGGTAAACCTGCAAGATGCACGGTGGTACATGTTGGGAGAGGCACAAAGTGGATGCGTTCACTGCACTAAGAACTAGAATAGTACATTGGATCTAACTCATACTCCAAAAGATATACAACGAGTACATCCGGACAGTTTTTTCCCAGGACAAAGAGCAAACTTCCGAACAACGTTTCTAGTACCTAGTCCACCTACTCTTGGCGTTGATCACCATCCACACCCTCCTAGGCATGTTATCTATGTGGTTAGTGCAGACCTTTGCATGAAGCTTCTTGCACTCTTCCTTGACCCACCATTTTGCATAAGGGGGTGAGCACAAGGAAAATTGCGAAGTATTTGAGCGTATGCATAAGTATTGTGCACGAATTCAGATTGAATGTAATCTCTGAGACTAGCCAAGCCGAGGGGTGTCCAAAGATGCCATTACTTGAATGGTCCCGGCTTATCATGAGTTGTTTTCGTCGAATCAGAGTAGGGTGAAATCACGAATAGAGTGGCAAAATCTAGCATACCCGCCACGAAACTTAGGGTAACAGAGCACGGTCGATTGAGCATCCTTTCATTGTTAGAATCATGTTAAAATCCGCGAGTCTAGTGACAGTGCATCAGTTGAAGAAGTCTCGACTGTTTGGGAAGAATATCAGGGTTGAGGTCTGGTGAGGAAGAGGGGCACTCCAGAGCTACATATCCATGCTCTCCGAGCCATTCCAAGCCTAGGCAGGGAAAATGACATGGAATGCCTTGGAGAGCATAAGTATGTTGCGCTGGAGTGACCCTTTTTCTCACCAGACCTCAATCCAGATATTCTTCCCAAACAGTCGAGGTTTCTTCGACTGCTGCCCCGTCACTAGACCCGCGGATTTTAACATGGTTCACACAGTGAAAGGATGTTCAGTCGACCGTGCTCTGTTACCCTAAGATTCGTGGCGGGAATGCTAGATTTTGCCACTCTATTCGTGATTTTACCCTAGAACGATACAACGAAGACGACCCATGATAAGCCGGGACCATTTAACTAATGGCATCTTTGGCCACCCCTCGGCTTGGCTAGTCTCTGAGATAACATTCATTCAGAATTTGTGTACAATACTTATGCATACGCTCAAATACTTTGCAATTTTCCTTGTGCTCACCCCCTTATGCAAAATGGTGGGTCAAGCGAGTGTGCACCACAATCGAGCGGTCTAGAACTTCAGCAAGCAAGCGCACTACTTTGTCGACAATGACAAGATCGGGGAAAGTCGTTGCAGCAGAAAGAGGAGGGATTAGTGTACGGGTTTTGTAATCAATGTCGATGACAAGGACTTGACACAACACTCACCTGTGGGTGAGGCAATGGCATGGCACAAGGTGAGGTATGCGTGCCCGCAGACGTGCAACTACACCCGTCTGCCCACCGGACATCACGCTAGCGCCGTCAGTACTTATCCCGCATATTCATCAACAGCATCAAGGGGCGGCTGGAGGATCTCGCGACCTTAGACGGATCCAAACTCTTCAGGCAAAGAGCGTACACGAAGAGCGCGGCAAAGCGGGAGCGGCGCCTGCTGCAATGGTTGCCTGCTCTACAAGCGTGATGCGGCAGCACCGGACACTCTGCCAGGTTCTTGTTTCCCACCGCTAGCTCTACTTGCCCTTGTCTTTCAAACCGCACCGTACTTGCTATACCAAATGTGAACTCGTTGGCTTTGTCTCATTATAACCGTTTCATATGTCTGCCGTCATTGCAACACCCATCAGGAATAAACCTGGCGAAGGTGGAGAAGGAGTTAAGCAACTTTAGCACGATCATGCGCACACATCAGGCTGACACGGGCTTCCTTGATGGCCCGAAGAATATGTTGGGCTCCTTGGACTGGCAAACTAGTACCCCAACCTGGTTCTGCTCTAGATTACTGTTGTTGTGCTCCCTCTCAGCACTGTGCAGTGCGAGAGGGGCTTCAGCAGGCAGAATGTGATCAAGTCTTGGCTCCTGGGGAATCTCTGCGATGCAAAGCTGGCAGATCTGATGGCAATATCCCTTTTGGAGTACGAGATGCAATGGGATGAGCTCATGGCAAGGCAAAGAAGTGGCGCCCTGTGAGGGCGGTGGTAATGGCTGAAGTCCCGTCCACCAAAAAGCGACCAAGGTTTGAAGCAGTCAGGGCGGAAAAGACAGCAGCAGCAGCAGTAGAAGTAATAGCAAGCCATCAAGCAGCAGTTTCGGAAGCTGAAGTTGCAAGAGCGGAGGAGGAACCTGGCATGGCGTACTGGAGGAGGAAGAGGAAAGGCAAGATCCCGGTAGTCGAAGAAGAGGAGAGTGAGGAGGAAGATAACCCTTTTGCCTTTGAATCCGAATCTGAACATGACTTTGAGTAGTGCGGAGGAGCAGACGTAGAAGCAACAGCAGCAGCATCTGCAGAAGTGCCAGCAGCTACATTGGCACCAGCAGCAACATTGGCAGCAGCAGTACCAGCAGCAACAGTCCTGCTGCAGGTGGCGGCACTAGCAGAGCAGTACTAGTAGCGGCACTAGCAGAGGAGTACTTGCAGCAACAATAGCTCTAGAAGCACTAGCATTTGCAGTAGCCGGTCCTATGGCATCACTAGCTCTTTTAGCCTTAGTGGGAGGTCCTTTGGCAGCACTGTCTTTAGCTGGAGTAGCAGTAGCAGTACATTAATATTTGTTCTAGCTGTTTTGTTCTAGCAGCAGTAGATTGCTAACTGGCCTTTAATTGAAATTGCTTTAAGATATGGCACCATCTGTTCATCAGACGCGCATGTCTCTGGCCATCTGATTTTCAGACGTCCCAAAATCCTAGCAAGAGCCCTAATGCATACCATGCATACCCTGCTCTTTTCTGCATTTTGCACATTCATTGCTCTTCGTGTCCCATCAGCACTATGTTACTCCCAAGTACACCCCCAGTAAGGTATGGGCTCATGGGTGTGCTATGAGCTACACCGAACAATGATGTCCCCACCCTTCCATCACTTCGCACTTTCCATCATCTATCATCACCCCTCCTCCCTCTCTCCCTCCTATTCTCGCCAACGGGTTTCCTCTTCACTCCCATCTCTGCTTCCCATGCTCCCAGTAGGTGATAAGGGGAAGCGCCATGGCAGCATGGAGTGCAGAGGCAGCAAGTTACAAGTGGGAGGTATCAACGCTGAAGCGGAAAGGGCAGTAGGGAGTGCGCATGTAGGGACTTGAAGATAGTCAACCCATCGTCCGCCTTCTTCAAATGACAAGTACCTCTTGCATTCTTCAACTTTCTTCTCAGCAACGCCTCTTCCCTGCCCTCTAGAGATGAGTCTGTTTGCTTCCTCTTCCTATCCTTTCTATTCATCTACTACTATAATTTTCTGTTATTCTGTTTCACTCCTGTGTAAAAAAAATTCACTTACCGCTTATGCCCAATCGACTCATTGTTTCCCCCCTCTCCTCTCATGTTTGCCTCCTCTTGTCATCCCCAATAGGCCACTTGGCATTGTTTGAAGACTGCAGCTGAGGAAGCAAAACAACCGAGTTGCAGAAGAGGAATCAGCAGCAGCAACAACGGCAGCAACAATAGCAGCAACAGCGGCAGCAGCAGTAAAAGCAGTGGTTGCTCCAAGGGAGGGTATCTAGGATGGTTTCGGCTCTGAAGGTACATTCCATTCCCTGCTCATTTTCTCCGTTCCCTTCCCTCCTGTATTTTTGCATTTGATTTCTTGATTTTTTTGCTCTGCCCACTTGACTCGCTGGTTCCTCTCTCTCCTCTCCTGGCCTCCCCCTTGCGCCCCCCAGCAGGTCACTTGCATCAATGGAAGACTGCAGCATAGAAAGATGAGCAGCGGTGGCGGCAGCGGCAGCGGTGGGGGCTGGGTGGTTAGGGGCAGGCTAGGTTGAGGAGTGAGCGAGGTATGGCACCAGGTAAGGTATGGAACTAGGTAAGGTATGGTACCATGTAAGGTATGGAGCTAGGTAAGGTATGGTACCAGGTAAGGTATAGAGTCTCCACTCTCAAGACTCACCCTCCCTCCCTAGTTCTGAACAACCTCAAGCATCATAAGAGGAAGGACTGGGAAGGCAATGAAGGAAACAAAGGCTTTGGGGGGTGAAGTGTTACGAGAGGTTTTAGCTAAGTAGGCAAGAGTAGCGAGAAAAAAGAGGGTGGACTAGTGAAGAGAGAGAATTGCAAGAAGTGGGTTGTACTCTCTACAGTAGGATCCAATCAGAGTAATGCACCTACCTAGCCTTTATATATACATATATATATATATATACACACCCCCTAGGCTTGGTAGGTGCTACTCATAGAGGCAAGGGACCAGGGCAGCACTACTAATGTGTCCACTATTTGAGTAGAAAGAAAAAGTCTGAGCACACCACAAGCCCAATACCCTAAGCCCAACACCCCAAAGCCCAACACCCCCAAGCCCAACACCCCCATACCCAGCAGCAGATGTGGGATTCTACTGCACGTCGACCCCTCGGCAAGTGAGTCGGCGACGTCAACGGCGGGGGCAGCGACAGCGGCGACAGCGGCGGGCGGTGCCCAAGGCAACCGGCCCGGCGGCGTGGCACGCTCAGCGATGGCAGGGGAGGACGGGCACAAGACCACCAGCAGCAACGGCGAGGAAGAGAGGGGGGGGGGATGCAAAGGAGGAGGGGGGGGGGGGATCTTCGACGGCAACGCCAGTTAGCGAGCCGCCATGGATGGCGTACGGGCGTGGTGGCTGGTGCTAAACCAGCGCGCTGTCCGCTGCCGTCCATGCACTGACGCGTCGAAGCCGTCACGGCAGCACAACGAAGCCGCCATGGCAGCGTGTCGATGCCACGGCAGCGCGTCGAGGCTGCCACGGCAGCGCATCGAGGTTGCCATGGCAGCACGACAAGGCCGCCACGGCGGCACAAAAGTGAGAGGAGGGGAGAGAGTACGCTGAGGAAGCGTGAAGAGAAGGCTCAGCAGGATCAACCTGCTCTGAAACCATATTATGAGAGGTTTTAGCTAGGTAGGCAAGAGTAGCGAGAGAAAAGAGGGTCGACTAGTGAAGAGAGAGAAGTACAAGAAGTGGGTTGCGCTCTCTACAGTAGGATCCAATCAGAGCAATGCACACACACATACACACACACACACATACACGCACACACACATGCATATACACACACACATACATATACACGCACGCACACACACATGCACATACATACACACACACATACGCATACATACACACACATACACATACACACACACATGCACATACACACATGCATACACATATACACATACGCATACACACACACACACACATATACACACACACACACACATACATGTACATACACACACACACATATACATACACACATATACACACACATATACACACACATACACACGCACACACACATACACACACATACACACACACATGCATATGCACATACACGCACACACACATACACACACATATACATACATGCACATACAAACACAAACACACACACATACACACACATACGCACATACACGCACACACACATTCATATACACATACACACACACATACACATACACACACACACACACATATATATATATATATATATATATATATATATATATATATATATATATATATATATATATATATATATATATATATATATATATATATATATATATATATATATATATATATATACTTGAAGAACACGATGAGGGGTTGAGTGGAGTGGAGTGAAATTGAGCCATGTTAGTATTGACTTATGGAATGTTGTGTAATGAAAAATGAGCAATGTCACCATTGACACTAATTATTAAAAAGATATTTTTTTGGGGGGGTCTGGTTCCTGGTTTCGGCCCCAACAATAACCCTAATAGTAGATGCTCTTTTGTCTTACCGGGCTGATGACGTTTGGCCTCGGTGTGATTCCATCGCGCAGCCAAAATTGTATCTGACAATGGTCCAACTATTGGCGCTATCAGACTAAATTATTTAGGAAGCATATTGCAACATGTGTCGGAGCAAAGGAACATGCTGTTTTGTTGACTTTTATGAACCAAAAATTGGCATTCACTATAGAACAAAGTGACGTTTCCTAATTTCGTAACCGGACTGACCCTATCTTGTACTACTGCACACCTGCTGCAGCAGACCAGGCCAAGGGTGTGGTACATACAGTTCCAGAAACTGGCCCCTGTCCGGACAAAAGAGTGGTTACCATTTTCGTCATTTCTCGCGACTCGCATCGCGGGAAATGGGTAAAACAGGTTATCAGCACCATCCGGGCAGGGGTGTCCGGACGTTCGTCCGAACGGCCTCCCTGCCAGTTCCGAACATTCTGGCCAAACCCCCCTGACGAAAGGAACGAAACATAGATGTTGTCACCCTATGCTTGAAGATTGAAGCGCGAAAGAATTGGCCATTGGCCAATCAAAACGTCTCTGGCGAACTTTTGCAGCCCAGCTTGCGCGCAACCATAACACTTTTCCGATAGTCGCGACGCGTGACGACAGATGTTTTGAGTAACTCTGGTTGGGGTGTTCCGCAATTTTCGTGCTTTTCGTCATTTCGCGTGGCTTTGGAAAATCAACCACCCTCACCATCCAGACATAGGTACTGAGTGAGATTTTCGGACAGTTTTGAGTTTCGGAACTGGATGTACCATGTTCGTCCGACTAGTCCCGTCACCGTTTCGGAACTCAGTTCCGTGATTGGCAAGTCGGAACTGTATGTACCACGCCCTAGTTTTGTTGCTTCTGCCACGCATGGCTTTCCCCCGACCTTTCCACAACCATCTTGACACTCCGTGTGACCGCCGCTCCGCTGATGTTGGTAACGCGATGCCGTGCAGCAACGGGTCTCCCTCCTTGATTCCCAATTCTTCACCTACTGACCGATACCTGGCGTTTCTGGGGGTTCCAAGTTCGGTGGGAAAACAAGTTTCCACGTTCCCTTTGAGATATGGTCCACAACGTGGGAGACTTTCGTATGAATTGCATTTCCACCGAAATTCGAGGATTCTTTGGGCACAGTAAAAGCTGAGATGCAGCACATCAAAGGAGCCGAGTATGGCTAAGCGCGCAGACTCTAGAAAGACTGGGCGAAACTGGAAAAACTTTCATGCGATACTGACCCGCCATGTTCAAAACGCGGCCCGAACCGTATGAACAAAATTATCGGATGAACGCGGCAGTTCCCCGCGTTCCTCGTGCCCTGACCCGCCTGCCTGACCAGTGACCAGTCACCACCAGCCCGGAACCGTTGAGTTGACTCCCCTCATTCAACACCCACCGCAACACCAATTTTGATTCCCGATCCAAGCGCACACTGGCGGCGTTGTGCGCCACATCATCCGCTCCCTCCGCTCCCCGCTACCGCAACACCTCCTTCCGCGCGGCCCCTCCCTTTCCCTCCCACGCGCGCATCCCGCGACTTCCCTAGCGATAAGGGAGATTCCGCCAGCATTCTACCGCCGATCTTCCCGCCAGCCCAAGCAGGAGCTCTAGTACAGTACAGACAGAACCAAGGGGAGGCAAGACAAGCCCAACGCGCAACACCCTAGGTTCGCGAACCTGGAGACTTGCCGAGGGCTGGAATGCGGGAAGCCATAACCTCGGGTCAGGGCAACTCCAACCGAAGTTTGCGAGACAGTAGCTTGCGATTGCTTGCCGAAGTAGCAGCCACGACTATTTCCGTCGGTCTTTCTCATTTCAAGAGGAACCTAAGACTTCCGGAGAAGAGAAATAGGGAGAAGAGTCTCTAGAGAGCTCCTTGCGAGGAAGCAGCAATTGAAGTACTGCTACTAACAGACTGGTCAGCGCCTCAGTTTTCGCCTGTGAGCTGTGTAGGACTCGACATTCTGAGTATCTGGCTTCCAACGACCATAGTCCACCGTCAACGTGCCCAACCGTAGTTATTCTCGAATTCCTTTTCGGAAGGAGGAGTGCTTCTTAGATTCGGTGTTACACCACAGCGGGGAAGACGAAGCTCGCGAAGCTCCGCAGAGCAGGTAAATATGACCGTGAGATAGATTGAAACGATGCGACCCCATAGCTTCCTTTTGAGTCGACTCATTAGCCAGCTTCATATTCTCTTCAAAGAGTTTCCGAAACGCCTGGAAAGCCCCCTGCTTCGTGTACTCGTACGTCGCGCCGTAAGTTTCAACACGCTACTAGCTGAAGCCTTCGCCAAAAGCTTCTCGTCGTTTATTTCCTCTCGGAAGGATTCCGTCGAGCTCAAGGCTTATTACTTGCAAGGGCTTCCCTGAATGCTTCTCGGCGCTTCTCGGCGCTTCTCGGCGCTTCTCAGCGTTTATTTCCTCCGCTGTAGGAATTCCGTCGAGCTCAAGGCTTATTGCTTGCAAGGGCTTCCCTGAATGCGTCCTCGCGCGTTAAGCCTCCTGTAGCCACGTTTCCCGCTTCCTGTGGCGAACTTCGCAGGCCGTTCGTGTTATACAGCTCATCCTCCCCTGTTTCCGACTACCTTCGTATGAATCGTGTGATGATACTTCAGTTTTGAGACATCTCAAAACTAAACTGTTTACCACACGGTCGCCTCGCCGAACTCTGCATAGTTATCGTGTTATGCAGCTCATCCTCGCGTGTTTCCAACTGACTTCTTACGAATAGTGTGACAGTAATTAATCCAGCTTTGAGACGTCTCAAAACTGTTTTTTTTACACACTGTCGCCGAACTTCGCTGGAATGTTAAACAGCCCATACTCTCCTGCTTCCGACTGTCTTCGTACGAGTCGAGTTGGAACGAAGTGGTTTGACTGTCTTGTGTACTCAAGGCCCCTCGGCCGCAAGCAAGGCCACTCGGGAATTCACATTCTCAAAAGCAGCTCCAGTGATAATCGTGTGTTAATAGTGTTCCAAGCCAAGCCTCCCGTTTCCTGTCTACGCATGCGACCTTTCCGCGTGCCTTCCCTTTCGGGTCTTCTCCGAACCATGGGAATCCGTAGTTTTTGTGCTATCGCCGCAACAGACGCAAGCCTAAGGCATCTCTTTGGTTCCCGTTTACAGTTCCACCACCATCCATCCTCTCTAACCGAGAATCCGTGCTCGCTAACTGTACTTAATCACTCCTTTCAACTCCACTGTCTCCGTCCGTTCCCGCTTCCCTTCCTCCCTGCTCGTTCGTCCCCGAACCTTTTCCCCGCACGTCCCTAGGTTGACTACGAGCCGTCTGACCAGGTTCGGCTGAGCTAACCCCTTTCCTGCTCTTCCCTGCTCTTCCCTGCTCGTGCGTCCCCCGACCTTTTCTCTGCACATCCCTAGGTTTGAGTGCGAGGCATCTGACCCGGCTCCCCTGTTCTTCGCCGGATTTCGTCGGGTTTTGCCTCGCTGAACCTTCATCTCGCGAGCCCTTCGCCAACCTCCGTCGCCAGCACCGATGAAACCACGGCTGCAGCAGCCGGAGCTACAGGCTCGAAAGCATACCTCCTCCTCCTCCTCCTCCTCCTCCTCCTTTTCCTCCTCCTCCCCGCCCTCCTCTCACACTGCCTTCTCCCTCTCCTCATCCTCCCCCCATCCCTCCCAAGGCCCTATGGCGTTGTCATCCCCGTTATTAGCGCGTTCAGAGCTGCGACAGAAACCAGAGAGGGAAGGCGGACAATGCGCCTGGACACAGCCGCAGCAAGCAGAGTCCCGGGGGCGGAGTCAGGAGCAAGGAGGGGAGGTATCGGCTGAGCGACGAGAGCCCGTGCGACGGCAAGCGACGGCGGGCTGGCGACGATTCCAGCCGTGGTCAACGTCGTCACTGTCGTCCCCGTTCGCACTCCTGGTGTCGCTCGTTGTGGCCATCGCGTTGCTCCATCGAGCCCCGGTCGTTGAATCCGCCGTCTCCGCCCACGGTGAGTCCGAAGAGGCACAAAGGCGACTCATTCCGGAAGCAACCGCGGTCCCGGTGTCGCTCGTTGTGGCCGTCGCGTTGCTCCATCGAGCGCCGGTAGTCGAATCCGCCGTTTCCGCCCACGGTGAGTCCAGAGGGGTGGAAAGGGCGGTGGGGGAAATGGCGGAGAATGGCGCGAGCACGTTGGCAGAAGTGGCAACGACGAAGGTCGCCGTCGCACTCCCGGTGTCGCTCGTTGTGGCCGTCGCGTTGCTCCATCGAGCGCCTGTAGTCGTCTCCGCCGTCTCCCCTCCGTCCCCTCCCTCCCACATCAGCCTACGAGATTCAGAAGCTGCTGGCCATAATAGACGCTTTCTCGCAATACGCGCCGGCCGCGCTGCCATCTTCCTTGCAATCACCCATCTTTCCTCCCTCTCCTTCCTCCTCCGATCCCCACTCCGCCTCCCCTCGCTCCCACACCAGCCTACGAGATCCGGAAGTTGCTAGCCTTGAAAGACGCCCTCTCCAATACACGTCGGCAGCGCTGCCGTCTTGCTTGCAATCACCCATCGGGCCTCCCTCTCCTCTCTCCTCCCTTCCCTCCCTTCCCTCCCCTCCCGCCCCTCCCGCCCCTCGCTCCCACACCAGCCTACGAGATCCAGAAGCTGCTCGCCCTGAAAGACGCCTTCTCGCAATACGTGCCGGCCGCACTGCCGTCTTGGAGCGTGGAGGGCGGGGATCCGTGCAAGAACCAGTGGAAGGAGGGCAAGATCGCATGCAACACTGCTGGACGCGTTATAAGACTGTACGTCTTAATGAGTCATGCTATAATGGGGATGTGATTCAAAGTGGAAGAAGGCGGGAGAAGTGGAGGGCGGAGGGGAAGATCGTGCGCAACACCGCTGGGCGCGTGATCAGATTGTACGTGTTAGTGAGGGATGCTGTAACGAGTGGAAGAAGGGGAAAATTGCGAGCATTCAGGCGTTTAACCAGTGCTTTTCTCCCCCCCTCCCCCATTCCCCCCTGTGGCAACAGGAACCTACAGTATCGAATCAGGATCTCAAGGGACCGCTACAGGCCAGGAGTCAGCTAAGCTGGTCGCTTCAAGTTGAATAAAAACGACTTAATTCTGCTCCGCTTTCCCTCTCCGCTTTCCCCCTCTCCCTCTCCGCTTTCCCCCTCTCCCTCTCCGCTTTTCCCCCCTCCCTTCCCCCCCTGTGACAACAGAAACCTGTCGAACCAGAACCTCAAGGGGCCGCTACCAGGCCAAGAGTTGGCCAAGCTAGTCGCTTTGAGAAGACTGTAAGTAACCCCCCTACCCCACCACCCGCACCCCCCCTCCCTTGCCGCACACACGCACGCTCAACCACAAACCCACACATGCCCACACACACGCACACCCAACCATGCACACGCACAACCACAATGCCCACGTACCCACACATACACGTGTGGGCGCACACGTACACATGTACGCACGCACAAGCTCACACGCCCGAGGTGACTTTTGAGTCGACTCAAAAGTCACCTCGCACGCACAAGCTCACACGCCCACTCATACTAAGGCTCCCACTCCGTCCGTCCTCTCCCTCTTCTACCCCCTGCCTCCTTTCTTCCCATCCCCCTCTCTCTCTAGCAGGGTGTTTTTTAGAATTCTCTAAAGCACCACCACGCCCACTCATGCTCAAGCTCCCACTCCGCCCATCCTCTCCCTCTTCTACCCCCTGCCTCCTGTCTTCCCATCCCCCTCTCTCTCTCGCAGGGACCTCGGTTTCAACAACTTTACGGGGGAGATTCCAATCGAGCTTGCTGACCTCAGCAGCATCACCTACCTGTACGTTCTGACTATGTTCACATACCTCAACTGCCTAGGTCTCTGACTCCGCAGGGTGTTTTTGAGAATTCTCAAAAACAGCTTGCTGACCTCAGCGGTATCACCTACCTACAAGTCCTGCCTATGTTCACATACCTCAAATACCTATGTCTCTGACTCCTGTAGGTACTACCATTTTCCTCACTGTTACGTGGATTTCTCCCCTCCTCTTCTTTCGTCCTCTTCCCCCCTGTCCCATTCCCTGCCCTTAGCTCAATCTCTCGAGAGGAACCAGATAGAGGAGGCTAATCTTGGATGTTTGGCTTGAATTTCGCCATCCTTGCTGCCATTTGCAGGTCTTTAGAGAGCAATCAGATAGAGGGTGCCATTCCAGAGTGGATTGGCACGGAATGGCCTACGCTGGTGCACCTGTAAGTGCTGATTCGTTACAGTACTTATGCACAGATTGAAACGTGTCCCGAATCTTGTTGAGACTTTTCAGATGTCTAAATATCTTCTCTAGGTGTAGGCCCGAGCTCTACCGCTTCCTATCTGTCAGCCCATTTCCTCTCCGCCTTCGTCCCCCTCCACGTCCCTAAGCTTCGTTGCCTTCTTCCTTTGTTCCTTCCGCCTTCGTCTGTTCCTCTCCGCCTTCTTCCCTGTCTCTTTGACTCTTACTCTTCCACCTCCACTTCTCTCTTTTTTTTTTCTTTTTTTTTTCCCCCCTTTTCGTTCGTTCCTCTCGCTCACGTGCAGTCGCCTTGCCAGCAACCAGTTTGCCGGGCAGATTCCAAACGGCTTCGGGCAGCTGAAGAACCTTGTCATGCTGTGAGTGATGAATGCACTTGAGCACTGTAGCATTGATCAATCGAACACCTTTGTTTCCAACCAGCTATCCGGATAGCTCCATTCCAACAGACAGTTCGGTGGCTCGTGAGTTCTTTCCTCATTCACCTCCTCCCTTCCCATTCCCCCTCCACAAGCTTGAAGCGATCTAGCGTCCAGCCAGCTATCCGGCTCCATTCCAACGGACATCCAGGTGTGCTCGTGGCTGGAGCAGCTGGCCCTCCTTCCTCATTCAACTCCCCCCCTCCATAATCCTGCACACCCCCTCCCAGGGACCTGGCGTCCAACCAGCTATCGGGCTCCATCCCTACAGACATCCATGTGTGCTCGCGCCTGGAGCAACCATCTCACTTCCCTACCCCTGTGTTCCTTCCACTGCACCCCCCATCCCCATCAACCCATACACTTGTGCAGTGACATGGCGTCCAACCAGCTATCGGGCTCCATCCCTACGGACATCCAGGTGTGCTCGCGCCTGGAGCAGCTATCACTGTCGGGGAACTCCCTCTCGGGCCCTCTCCCCACGTGGATCGGCAACCTGAAGCAGCTGCGCGTGCTGTGAGTGCCCTGTGACCCCCTTACGCCGGGCAGGCACTGTATGCTCTCCGGATTTTCCCCTACCCCCTCCCCTCTCTGCCTTGTTGTGTCTCCTCCCCAGTGAGATGTTATCCAACAACCAACCACTCCGGCACCATTCCTGCTGACAGCTGAGTTAACCCATTATTCGCCCTTATTCCCCCTACCTCCTATCCTTATCCCCGCCTGCTCCCCTCCCCAGTGAGATCTTCCCAAACAACCTCCTAGTGTATTTTGAGTCGACTCAATAAACCTCCCTCGGGCACCATTCCTGCTGATTGTTAGCTCAACTTAAATCCGTCTTTTATGTTCCTTCCCCTTTGCCCTACTCGCTCCCTCCTTACCTCCCTCCCTCCAGAGTGATGTTCTCCAACAACCAACCTCTCCGGCACCATTCCTGCTGACTCTTGCGTTGGATCATTCATTACTCTCCGTATTTCCCCGATTTTCTCCCCTCACTGCCTTGTTGTGTCTCCCCCCCAGTGAGACGTTCTCTATCAACCTCTCCAGCACCATTCCAAGTGACTGTAGAGTCAATTCCTACTCCCCTTAACCCAGTATTGCCCCATTTTCTCCCCTACCCCCTAATCTTGTCCCCCTCTCTTACCCCCCTCCAGCGAGATGTTCTCTGACAACCTCTCCGGCACCATTCCGGCTGACTGTCAACTCAACTTGAAGCTCCTCACTGCGTCCCTGTTTCCCTCCCCTTTGCCCCACTCCCTCCCTCACTCCCTCCCTCACTCCCGCCCTCCCTCCCTCCCTCCCTCCCTCCCTCCCTCCAGCGAGATGTTCTCTAACAACCTCTCCGGCACCATTCCGGCTGAAATCGCGCAGGCTACCTCCCTTGAGTCCATGTGAGTGCAGCATCCCCGTTATAAGCCCAGCAGGCCCTTGCGGTACCTCTCATTCTAGCCACATCCCTATGTGATGCCTCTTCAGTCGACTTATCACAGCATCCGAGTTATAACGAATAAGCCCAGCACGCCCCTCGAATAATGCCCCTCATTCCAGCCTTCCCTCCATCTTGCCTTTTGCGTTGACTTGGCTTATCACCCTTCCCTCCGTCATGCTTCCCCTGGCTTCTCCCATTCCCCTGCCTCCTCCCATTCCCCTGCCTCCTCCCAATCCCCTCCTCCCATTCTCCTCCCACAGAGTGTTTGATGATAACGATCTGGCTGGCGCACTGCCGGACGCCCAGAGCAACATCCCCTCCCTGGCGGCTCTCTATATGTCACTCAACCGGCTTTTGGCACTTCCTCTCCCCTGCCCTCCCCTGCCCTCCCCTGCCCTGCCCTCTCCCTGATATGCGATTCACAGAGCGCTCGATGATGACGATCTGTCTGGCGCACTGCCGGACGCCCAGAGCAACATCCCCTCCCTGGCGGCTCTCTTTATGTCACTCAACCGGCTTTTGGCACTTCCTCTCCCCTGCCCTCCCCTGCCCTCCCCTGCCCTACCCTCTCCCTGATATGCGATTCACAGAGCGCTCGATGATAACGATCTGTCTGGCACACTGCCGGACGCCCTGGGCAATCTTCCTTCTCTGGCCGCCCTTTATATGGCATCCAACCTTCTCGAGGGGCCCATCCCCTACAGCTACCACCGGCTGAATGGCCTCATGTATATGTACGTATCAGGCGCATCTGTGTGTGCCGGTGAATGGCCTCATGTATATGTACGTATCAGGCGCATCTGTGTGTGCCGGTGAATGGCCTCATGTATATGTACGTATCAGGTGCATCTGTGTGTGCCGGTGAATGGCCTCATGTATATGTACGTATCAGGTGCATCTGTATGTGCTGGTGTCCGCATGGGTAGGGTCATCTGGATGCGCCGGTGTCCCATTTCCTAGTTTTGAGGCGCCTCAGAACTAGTCTCCTATCACGCGTGTCCCAGCTCTCCTTAAGCTACAGCTCTCCCCTCCGCCTGACCTCCCCTCACCCCCCCACCCCCCCCTCCCCCCGCCTCCCTCACCCCCTACTCGTCTCCTCTCGTCTCACGCCTCCCTCACACCTCCCCCCGCCCTCAGCACACTCAGATCCGCCTCCCTCACCCCTCCCCCCGCCCTCAGCACACACAGATCTGCCTTCCTCATCCCCTCCTCCTCTCCCCCCGCCTCCCCACGCCTCCCTCACCCCTTTCGTTATGTCCCTTGTACCTTGCAATCTGAGCTACAACACTGGCATCAACGGTTCAGTGCCTGCGTTATGCACTCACCCCCTCCTCCCGTTCCTGCCGTCTTCCCCTCCCCCCCCCCCCCCCCTCTGTATCCTGCAGCGACCTGAGCTACAACACTGGCATCAACGGCACGGTGCCTGAGTACCTGGGAAACCTGTGGCTGCTGGAATCCATGTGAGGCGCATGGCATGGCATGGCATGGCATGGCAGGATGGGATGGCATGGCATGGTATGGCATGATGGTATGGGTTTGGGATGGAAGAGTCCCTCTCTCTCCTGGTTGGGATGGGATGGTTTCCATCCCCGCCTCCCTGGGTGCCCTCCCTCTCCTCGTTGAGTTACTCACGGGTCCCATCCCCGAAGCCCTGGGCGGGCTTGAGTCCCTCAACAGGAGAGAGTGACCCTCTCAGGTGACTTTTGAGTCGACTCAAAAGACCCTCTCAGGCTCTCAGTAGTACCTCCCTCGAGTCCCACCTCCTTCCTTCCTCGGATCCCCTGTCCCCTATTTCCCCTCCCCCAAAGCCTTTGAGAACTGCAAGCTCACTGGCTCCATCCCCGCCTCCCTGGGCGCCCTCTCCCTGCTGGTGGAGATCTCTCTCGACAACAGCAAGCTCACTGGCTCCATCCCACTCTTCCCTCCTTCCTTGCCCCACCCCCCCCTTTCCCCCTCTCTCTCAGAGCATTTGAGAGAGGAAGCAACCCTAAACTGTGCAACCTCACGGGAAGCATCCCGGCGTCCCTGACCACCCTCTCTCTCCTCATTGAGATATTCCTTGACAACAACTAGCTCACTGGCTCCATCCCCTTCTCCCCCCATCTCCGTCCCACCCCCCCCTCCTCTCCTTACCACCAGCGCCTTTGAGAACTGCAACCTCACTGGCTCCATCCCCGCCTCCCTGGGCGCCCTCTCCCTGCTGGTGGAGATATTCCTTGACAACAACAAGCTCACCGGCTCCATCCCCGAGACCCTGGGCGGGCTGGAGTCAATCAACAAGCTCTACCTCAACCAGAACTTCCTGGACGGTTCCGTGCCAACGTCGCTGTGCAACCTGACGAACGCGCGGGAGATCAACTTGTCCAAGAACGGGCTCACTGGGGATCTGCCCCTGTGCATGGTCACGCTGCCGCACATTACTTCTCTCCTGGTCTCATACAACCAGCTGTCGGGGGACGTGCCGGACATTCCTGCAGATAGCAAGCTCTTCTTCAGGTGGGTTTCCTTGTGTGTTGTTGCTCGCTCGCACCTCATTCCTGGTGGTCCCTCTGCAAGCAACCTGAGGAACGCGTGGGAGGGAGATCAACTTTTTGAAGAATGGGCTCACTGGGGATCTGCCCCTGTGCATGGTCACGCTGCCACATGTGACCTCCCTCCTGGTCTCATACAACCAGTTATCCGGGGATGTGCCGGACATAGCCCCGGACATTTCCCAGGACTGCAAGCTCTTCTTCAGGTGGGTTTCCTTCTGTGTGTGCCGTATGGTAAACCCAACTGACCTCGTTAAAATCAACTGACCTCATGGTCTGTCTGGGTAGTCTCTCCTGGTGTTGGTCAACCAGCTGTCGGGGGATGTGCCAGATATACCCCAGGGCAGCAAGCTCTTCATCAGGTGGGTCCCACACTGCAGGTAATCTCTCGTGGTCTCTCGTGGTCTGTATGATACGATGTAGCTCTCTCCCGTGACGCCTTGTGAGGCTTCGTGCGGCCCAGTGAGGCTTCTCTCTCTCAAGAGACGGCTCTGCAACCTGACGAACGCGTGGGAGATCAACTTGTCAATCTTTTGAGGCGCCTCAAAAGTTGAGTCGACTCAAACGACGGCTCTGCAACCTGACGAACGCGTGGGAGATCAACTTGTCAATCTTTTGAGGCGCCTCAAAAGTTGTGTCGACTCAAACGACGGCTCTGCAACCTGACGAACGCGTGGGAGATCAACTTGTCAATCTTTTGAGGCGCCTCAAAAGTTGAGTCGACTCAAACGACGGCTCTGCAACCTGACGAACGCGTGGGAGATCAACTTGTCAATCTTTTGAGGCGCCTCAAAAGTTGAGTCGACTCAAACGACGGCTCTGCAACCTGACGAACGCGTGGGAGATCAACTTGTCAATCTTTTGAGGCGCCTCAAAAGTTGAGTCGACTCAAACGACGGCTCTGCAACCTGACGAACGCGTGGGAGATCAACTTGTCAATCCAATCCCCATAAGCGGAGCCCAGCTTCGAGCGATTGCTATATTCACCCTTCCTCAACCCACCCCACCCCGCCCCACCCCACCCCACCTCACCCCACTCTCCCAAACACCAGATACGACCACAACTGCTATGAGGACATGCCGGATCAATCACCATGCGCCGAGCCCACTTTCACCAGCGACTCCTCTATTCCCCTCCTCCCCCCCACCCCACCCCACCCCCCCAAACACCAGATACGACCACAACTGCTATGAGGGAATGCCGGACCAGTCCCCATGCGCCGATCCCACCTTCACCAGCGACGGCACGACCACCACCGACGGCGGCAACGACTAAGCTGCTGACAACGCCACGTGGTCTGATACCACCGCTGCTGATGACACCACTTTGAGTCGACTTCCTGCCTTGCTTCCCCCGCTCCCTCTCGCCCCTCCTCCCACTAACACCAGATATGATCACAACTGCTATGAAGGAATGCCAGACCAATCACCATGCGCCGAGCCCTCGTTCACGAGTGACGGCACGACTACCACCGATGGAGGCAGCAATGACTATGCTGCTGACAACGCCACGTGGTCTGATACCACGGCGGATGACTACCAGCAGTTCTACGACTCAAATAACCCGGAGGGAGGCAGCCAGGCGGCGCAGAATACTCAACCTTCTTCCAGTGAGTGTGACTTGAAGGGTGTGTTTGGGAAAGCGTGCGAGTGTGTGGGTCTGACTATGCTCCTGCCAGCGCCACGTGGTCTGATACTAGTTGTATTGTGAGTCGACTCAAAATACAACGCCACGTGGTCTGATACCACGGCGGATGACTACAAGCAGTTCTACGACTCGAATAACCCGGAGGGGGGCAGCCAGCCGGGGCAGCAGAGCCAGTCATCTTCCTCCAGTGAGTCTGGTTGGTGTAAATGCGTGCGTAAGAGTGTGTGAGGGTGTGTGATTGTGTGTGTGAAGGTGTGCCTAAGAGTGTGTGAGGGTGTGCCTAAGAGTGTGTGAGGGTGTGTGATTGATTGTGTGTGTGAGGGTGCGACTATACGGCTGTCAAGGCCTGCGTTGTATTCGGGTGCGACTGCGTTGTACTCATGAGCACCTGGTCCTCATCTAAATCCTGCGGCCACTCCTCAACGTGCTGCTGGCCTGCGTTGTATTCGGGCGCACCACCCAACTCCAAACTGTATCCTTGTCTACATTCTTGTCCCATCCCCAACCCCCACATCAGGTCACACCCCGGTGTTTATCTACATCCTGCTGCCGCTCTTCGCCGTGCTGCTGGCCTGCATCGCCGCGTACCACTTCTCACACAAGTTCAGGGATGCTGTGCACGTGCTGGTCAACGGGAGGGACAAATGTGAGTGCTGTTGCGGTATGCCAGTGTTAGCAAGTGTGCTGCTTGCCTGCATTGCCGCGTACCACTTCTCACACAAGTTTGGAGATTTAGTGCACATGCTGATCAACGGGAGGGATAAACATGCGTAGAGACAAATCCAGTACATGCTATCGCGGTGTGTGCGCTAGCAATAGAGGGCTGCTAGCAATAGAGGGCTGCTAGCAGATGGGCTCCTAAGTGCCCACCACCACAGGCAACATTGCTGCGTACCACTGAGTTTGACTGAGTTTGACCCTCAAGCGCACCAGGACAGGAAGGCAACATGAAACTGCAGTTGTCATGTCCGTCAGGATTCCCCCCTCTGCTCTTCCCCCCCTCCCCCCCTCCCCTTCAACCTGTGAGACGTGTCCCCCTCTCCAGTGGGAGTGACTGAGTTCGACCCCAAGCGCAACACGAAGGCCACAGCAAACTCATCCAACCCTCCCGCCAACGCTCTCCCCCAACCCTCTTCCCCACCCCCTCCAACCCCGCGTATCCCCCTTTCCCCCCCTCCAGAGGTGACTCTTGAGTCGACTAAAAAAATACTTCCCCACCCCCTCCAACCCCGCGTGTATCCCCCCTTTTCCCCCGCTCCAGTGGGTGTCACTGAGTTTGACCTCAAACGCATCAAGAAGGCCACAGGAAACTTCACGGCAGAGTACGGCCGCGGGAGCTTCGGGGTGGTCTTCCTGGCGGACGAATTTTTCAAGGGGCAGCCAGAGCCTCGAGCGATCATCAAGCGAGCTCACGACCCCCACAGTGAGTGCAAGCACACACAGTGAGTGCGAGCACGCACAGTGAGTGCAAGCCCGCACAGTATAGTATCTGGCTTGAACTTTGGATACTTCACAACGGAGTAGGGCCGCAGGAGCTTTGGGGTGGGGGTGATTTCTTTGAGGGGCGGCCGAAGCCCTGAGCGATCATCAAGCGAGCTCATGACCCGCACAGTGAGTGCAAGCCCGCACAGTGAGTGCAAGCCCGCACAGTGAGTGCAAGCCCGCACAGTATAGTATCTGGCTTGAGCTTTGGAAACTTTTCAATGGAGTAGGGCCGCAGGAGCTTCGGGGTGGTCTTTTTGGCGGATGAGTTTTTCGAGGGGTAGCCGGAGCCGCGTGCAATTATGAAGGGAGCTCATGAACCACACAGTAAGCCTCTGTCTTTGAACCAAGGTGAGGGTTATCAAGCTTCGCTTCGGGGTTGCCATCCCCTTAACCTCGTGAGTTGAGCTTCGGGGTTGCTGTTCCCTTTATCTCGTGAGTTGAGCTTCGGAGTTGTCTTCTTGGCGGACGACTTCTTCAAAGGGCAGCCGGAGCTTCGAGCCATCATCAAGTGTTCCAGGGTCCTAGCATGGCATGCCATGCGAATCTGATGGACCCGCCATGGCATGCTATGCTGCACTGCACCTACATGATATAAGGTTTGTTTTGAGACATCTCAAAACACAGATTAAGGGAGTCGGGGTCCTAGCATGGCATGCCATGCTGCACCTACATGGCTACTGCGGTCCCCTGTACCCTTCTCACGCCCCTCCACCCATCTTCCCTCTCTTTCCCCCTCCTCAGAGGTCAGCGAGTTTCTGTTCAAGTGCAAGGTGGAGGTGCTAGCAAAGGCGCGCCATCGATATGTAGTGAATCTGCACGGCTACTGTGTCAACCAGGGGGAGCGCATCCTCGTTTATGAGTTCCTCCCTAATGGCACTCTCTTCGACCGCCTGCACCGTGAGTTTTGTGCCACACACACACGCGTGCATGTACGTATGTTTACATACAGCTTTTGTTAAGGGAGGGATTCATGTTTCCAGGGAGCGCAGCCTTATCGCTGCATTCTTATGAGGGTTTTCATGTGGGAGTGGCTTACCACATTGCCAATGCCTGTGCCTCGCCCTGTCATTCTGTCCCATCCTCAGGCCCTGAGCTCGAGCCCCTCGCCTGGGAGACGCGTGTGCGGGTGGCGTATCACGTTGCCAGTGCCCTGGAGCACCTGCATCACGACCTCACACCCCCCCTGGTGCATCGAGCTGTGACCTCGTCAAATGTCCTCCTTGCTGCTGATATGACTGCCAAGGTACGGCGTGTGTGTGGGATGGCGTGGTATGCTGTGATGTGCTGCTCTGCTAGGGTGGTAGGCATGTGTCTAATCTCTCTGTGCTCTTGAGTGCTTGCACCACGACCTCACCCCGCCCTTATTCCATCGCGCTGTGACCTCGTCAAATGTCCTCCTTGCTGCTGACATGACTGCCAAGGTGAGCCACCTGGGGTGCCTCTATAAGATGATTCGCTCTGTGTTCCCTGGAGTGAGCACCTGCACCTCGACCTCACCCCTCCGCTAGTGCATCGAGCTGTGACCTCGTCAAATGTCCTCCTTGCTGCTGATATGCCTGCCAAGGTACGATTATCGTTACGTTGTTAGGGGTTCTGCTGTCAAATCTCTCTGTGCTCTGGACTGGAGCACTTGCACCACGACCTCACCCCGCCTTTGGTGCATCGCGCCATGACCTCGTCCAACGTGTTGCTTGCTGCTGACATGCCTTCCAAGGTACGAGCCATATGCCTTGCTGTAACGTGCTGTGATGCTAAGGTGAGGATTATGTTCTGCCGCAGCAAAAGCAGGTGGCGGGACAGTGCAGCTGAGTGCGGTGGAGTGCGGTAGAGTGGCGTGTGTGCAGGGGAAGCAGGGGCACAAGCACAAGCAGGTGGCGGGCGTGCAGTCGCCCTCGCCTCTTCCCTCACCCGCATCTCATCCCTAACCCCCCTTCTTCCTTCCTCCTGTGCCCCCCCCCGCCCTCTGCTGCTCCGTTTCCCCCGTCTACCTTCCCGTCCCTCCCCTCATCAGTTGAGCGATTTTGGCATTGCCAAGGGCAACGGCGCATTCGACGACACGCCGCTCACTCCTCTTCCCCCCTTGCTTTGATCTCCTCTCCTTCCTTCTCTTCCCCTTTCCCAGCTGAGCGACTTTGGCATAGCCCAGGGCAGCAGCAGCGGCAACAGTGCCTTTGATGACACGCTGCAGCGCAAGCTGCAAGCACAAGCAGGTGGCGGACGTGCAGTCGCCCTCTCTTCCCCCTTCGCTCACACCAATGTGGAATTCCGCTCTCGTCTTCCTCCCCCTCTTCCTCCCTCGCCTCTCTTCTTTCCCTCACCCCCCTTCCCATACCGCAGCTGAGCGATTTCGGCATTGCCAAGGGCAGCAGCGGGGGCAACAGCGCGTTTGACGACACGCCGAGGCGCAAGAAGAGCCGCAAGCACAAGCAGGTGGCGGACGTGCAGTCGCCCTCGCCGCAGATGGAGAAGGTGGACGTGTATGGGTTCGGAGTGGTGCTGCTGGAGCTGATTACAGGGCAGAAGGCCATGAAGGAGGTTCACATTACTACCATGGTAAGAGGGGATGTGGTGCAGTGCAGTGCAGTAAAATCCGGGTAGAAAACGGTGCAGTGCGGTAGAATGTGCAGTCGCCCTCGCCCCAGATGGAGCTATATGGGTTTGGAGTGGTGCTGCTGGAGCGCTGATCACAGGGCAGAAGGCCATGAAGCAGTGCGGTTGAATGTTGTGCGGTGGAGTGTGGTGTATGGGTGTGTGCAGAACTCTGAAGGAAAGCTATCTTGGATACAGGCGCTTTGGCCCGCGACTGCGTCCAAGAGAAAACGCGGCAGCCACTCTCAAGAGAATGTCCCATGGGCCATTCTTACCCCAACGACCCCCCTGTTCTGACGAACCTAAATCCCACCACGCTCCCCCACCACACTCCCCCACCATACTCCCCCATCTCCCCCCCTCCAATACAGGCCGCCCCTTTCCTCGAAGACCGTCAGATGATGCCTTTGACGGTGCACCCCTTACCTGGATGGCAACTACCGCCAGGAGGAGAGGAGCTCATAGATAGGCACTCCGATCCACGTTTTCCTACTCACACGTTTGTGGTGCGTTGCATCCCTGCCTCCCTCCCGGGTCTACAGGCCGCCCCTTTCCTGGAAGATCCTCAGATGATGCCTCTGATGGTGGACCCCTACCTGGGCGGCAACTACCGCCAGGAAGAGCTCATAGAGATGGGCGCTCTGATCCCTGTTTCCCCAGTCCAACATGCTTGTTGTTGTTGTGTGTTGCATCTCTGCCTTCCTCCAGGCTGCTCCTTTCCTGGAAGATCCTCAGATGATGCCTCTGATGGTCGACCCCTACCTGGGAGGCAACTACCGCCAGGAGGAGCTCATCGAGATGGGCGCTTTGGCCCGCGACTGCATCCAAGAAAACGCCGCCTCCCGCCCGTCCATGCGCGAGGTTCTCGAGAGAATGGAGGAGAGTTTCCCTTCAGTGGGCGCATGCATGGAGGGGGGAGGGAAGGTAGGGGAGGACGAGGAAACGGGACTGTTGGTCGAGGGGTATTCCGCCGCACCGCCCACTTTCGGGCAGGGTGTTACGCACCTGCACCCTCCGCAGGAGCAGGGGTCGGCTGTGATGAGGGAGGAGCGGCAGGTGACTGGAATTTCGGGGATTTCGGCTCCCGCGTCCGCCTGGGCGTCGATCGAAGGGTTTGCTCGGTCGATCAAGAGTGCGATCGGAAATCCGAGGGGGTTCATGGGGCACCGGAGCGAGTCGGATCACGAGATGTCGTCGCTGCTGGTGCTGGGAGCTAAGACTGGCAGCAGCAGCAGCGGGAGCCTGGGGGGGAGGTGTGACAGGTGATAAGGTATAAGTAGAGGAGATATTTGTGACTGGGAACCCAAGGGGGGTTATGGCGAACCTGGGGGAGTAGGACCATGAGATGTCGTCGCTGCTGGTGCTGGGAGCTAAGACTGGCAGCAGCAGCAGCAGCGGGAGCCTGGGGGGGAGGTGTGACAGGTGATAAGGTATAAGTAGAGGAGATATTCGTGACTGGGAACCCAAGGGGGGTTATGGCGAACCTGGGGGAGTAGGACCATGAGATGTCGTCGCTGCTGGTGCTGGGAGCTAAGACTGGCAGCAGCAGCAGCGGGAGCCTGGGGGGGAGGTGTGATAGGTGATAAGGTATAAGTGATCGAGCAGCAGGTGACCAGCATTTTGGGTATTTCGGCTCCTGCGTCCAGCAGCAGCAGCAGCAGCAGCAGCAGCAGCAGCAGCAGCAGCGGATAAGTTACCGCCTGAGGATGTGAATGGGCATGAGGAGGTGATAAGCTACCATGATGGTAACCTGGAAACCCGAGTGGTTTCAGGGAAGGGGGGGGGGGGTGGGCTGGTCAGAAGCAGACCAGATAAGCCACTGGTGGTGCTGGGCATTGAGAGTGGCAGCAGCAGCGGGCGGCAGCAGGAGGGGGGGGCATGAGGAGGTGATAAGTTATCAGGGTGGCTGACGCGGGATTCCGAGTGGTTCTGAGTGGGAGCAGCAGCAGCAGCGGGAGTGTGAGGAAGTGATAAGTTATCGAAGGGGCGGCTCTGGTGCCATCATTCGGAGAAGCTGAGTGTACATGACGCCAAGATAAGAACATTTGAGGATACTCCCTAACAATATGCATCTAATTTATCAACCATAGGTGACAATCCTTTTGTCTATCAATTTGTTTGATTCTAATTGAGAGTAGGGCGGAGACAAGCTCTGAAATCTTCAGTGTCTTGGTGGGTTGACGATAGTGCATTGTTTTCAGTTTCCCTAAGCAGTCCTATGCTGTGCACGGCTGCCAGCCTTGTGCACTGCTAGCCTTGTGCACTGCTAGCCTTGTGCACTGCTAGCCTTGTGCACTGCTAGCCTTGTGCACTGCTAGCCTTGTGCACTGCTACTGGTATGGAAACATATTATTAGAAATTTGTGCACACACAACCTGAGCCCAGAGTGATGTTCCACATGAGGGCATGTCCTAAGCTCCCGTTCTTAGCCAGTACCCTACTACTGAAACTTTGTTCCACATGAGGGCGTTATGTTATCATTCCGAAACGCAGTCAAATGCTCAACTGCTTTCGGACGTGCGCAGAGGGTACGCCATAAAAGTCTGACCTGAGCCACCACAAAAAAAACTAAAAACATTTTCGTCCCGCCAACCGGATTCGAACCAGTGACCTAAGGATTGCTTGACTACAGTCCTCCGCTCTACCAACTGAGCTATAGCAGGCTGATGACTAATCGAAACAAAAAATACTAGATAAAAAATTATTTACACTCTGATTCACTTGCCCTCTCCACCGTTGCTTGTTCCAGCCATCATGCGACTCCTCGCCGCCCATCTCGGCGATGCTCGTCTCTCTAGTCTTCACTTCCCCATCTCCACTGCATTCCACCGATCCCGCCCTTCCGGCTTCCCGTTCCCCGCATTTCGCGATTCCGGTCCCTCCGCCTCCCAATCTCCCACCAGCTTCGCGCAAGCCCCCCGCCCCGTTGCGCAATTCCAGGCGCATTCTTCCCCCCGGGCGCATTCTTCCGCCCAGGCTAACCCCTCGGAGATGGTGGCGGAGGCGGAAGCACTGGACGGCGCTGTCACCGCCACCAGTCCTAGAACTGCCGATAGCCTTTCTATCACCGCCAATGGCGCTACGAGATCCCTACTAAGTGATAGTAACAGCGCTACGGGTCCTATTACGGGTCCTATAACGGGTCCTATAACCTTGCGCGGGGTGGTGTTCGACATGGACGGGACCCTGACCGTGCCGTGCATCGACTTCGCGGAGATGCGGCGGCGCGTGGGCGCCACGAGCTCGGACATCCTGCACGAGATCGACGGCTGGGATGCGCCGAGACGCGCCGAAGCGTATCGCGTGATCGGAGAGATGGAGGAGGAGGCGAAGCAACGGCTGCAGATCATGCCGGGTGAGAGGCGGCTTGGATAATGCCTGCTTGGATGCACGGTTGTGTGCTAGCTTGAATGGGAGGTTGAGATTGCATGGGATGATCGCAAGGCTGTGCGCTTTAATTGCATAATCCCATGCGCCAGCATCGTCATCTGTGTGATCGGGGAGGTGGGCGAGGAGGAGGAGGAGGAGGAGGAGGAGGAGGAGGAGGAAGAGGCGAAGCAACGGCTGCAGATCATGCCAGGTGGGATGATCTGGTGGGGGTGTGTAACAGATGGTGAGGGTGTGCAGTGCAGTGCCGTCATCCCATTATCCTTTTGACATGATCCCCTTTTGACATGATCCTTTTGACATGATCCTTTTGACATGATCCTTTTGACATGATCCTTTTGACATGATCCTTTTGACATGATCCTCTTGACATGATCCTCTTGACATGATCCTTTTGACATGATCCTTTTGACGTGATCCTTTTGACATGATCCTTTTGACATGATCCTTTTGACATGATCCTTTTGACATGACCCTTTTGACATGATCCTTTTGACATGATCCTTTTGACATGACCCTTTTGACATGACCCTTTTGACATGATCCTTTTGACATGATCCTTTTGACATGATCCTTTTGACATGACCCTTTTGACATGATCCTTTTGACATGATCCCATGATACCAAAACCAGCAATTTTTTAGAATTCTCAGAAATACCAAAACCAGCCAAATTTGATCCTATGTCTTCACAAACCAACAATATATGGCACTATGGTCCCATGTGCCAGCACTATTCCCCACTCCCCATATCCTTCTGCCGTTCCTCACTCCCCCATCCCCCCTCCACCATCTCTACCCCTTACCGTGCCTAATGCCTCTACCCCTTGCTCCCACCCCTCTCAGGTGCTCCTGGCAAGCTGTATTGTTTCCTGAAAAGGGGCTGAAGCTTGCTCCGTGCAGAGAGGGTTCGATTTTTGAGGCGCCTCAAAGAGAGGGTTCGATCCCTTGTCCCTTCCTCACTCCCATGCGTGAGGAGTCTATTTTTGAGGCGCCTCATTTTTTAGGCGCCTCATTTTTGAGGCGCCTCGAAAATCTTTTCCCTTCCTCGCTCCCTGCTCCCCCTCCCCCATACTTGCCCTTGCTCTCCCTAATGCCTCCACCCCTTGCTCTCGCCCCTCGCAGGTGCTCTTGAGTTGTGCTCCTTTCTCGACGCCCGAAATGTTTAATGAGGCTGTATCTCATCCCCGTCCTCTCACCCTTCCGCGCAGGCGCATCCCTCGCAGGTGCTTTTCAGCTGTGCTCCTTTTCTGGCGCTAGGAACGTTTAATGAGGTGCTCCTAGCGCTAGGCAGGTGCTCTCCTAGCGTATTTCATCCCCATCCTCTCGCCCTTCCGTGCATCCTGGCAGGTGCTCTTGAGTTATGCTCCTTTCTTGACGCCCGGAACATTCGGCGAGGGCTCATCACGAGAAACGTGAAGGACTCAGTCGATCATTTCCATACCAGCTTCCAGGTGAGTCTGAGACTCGCCAAGAGGTACCTCTCTACAAGGACTCAGTCGATCATTTTCATACCAGCTTCCAGGTGAGTATTAGACTCGCCAAGAGGTAACCTCCACACGAGCTATAGAGCTTAGCCCGAGAAATGTGAAGGACTCAGTCGATCATTTCATGCCAGCTTTCAGGTGACTTCGGAATTCACAGTCAAAGAAATCCAGGGAAAATTGGAGGCGTTTCAATGGTTTTCATCCATCAGTATTTGGCTGGTCGATTTTGCTCCACTTAATTCTGATATCCCGTATTCATTCTCTTCTCACCAGGTTCCCCCATTTTCGCCTGCTCTCAGTCGTGAATTCCAACCGTATAAGCCACACGCGGCCCCTTTGATACACATATGTGCACAATGGGGAGTATCTACTTCGGAGGTGATTATGGTTGGCGACTCTGCTAAAGATGATGTAAGTACCGGCTTTCACATGCAATCTAGAATGCGTGGGTGTGTCTTTTCAAGTCGTGTGGGTGTGTCTTTTCAAGTTGCGTGGGTGTGTATTTTCAAGTTGCCAACGGCTGGACTTGAAGAATATTGCCTCCTTTGACTGCTCCCTGCCCCTGCTACCATTGGTTGCATGCAGGTGGTTTGTGGAAAAAGAGCAGGTGCAATCACTTGTTTACTTGACGAGGCTGGTAAATTTCCCAGGGTTGATGAGATGCCAGAAGACATACGACCCCATTTTCGTATAAGAAGTCTAAGTGAGATGTTGGATCTCCTCATGTCGCAAATGTTTGTGCTTGGCTGAGAGTATTTCACATTTTAATTATCATTTGTACTTGTATATTTATCCTGGTACACCTTTTGCGTTTTCGTTCTGATATGTTTGTGGTGGTGTGAGCAATCAATTCCCGATTCTGCGTGATCTGTTTGTCAGTGGCTTCCACTTGTGTCTCTCCACCTGGCCAGCCTGGTTTCATCTTCGAGTTCAGCTCTTTGCCAGTACGCACACGTGGCCGACTGGTTGACAGGGAAGAGTAGGTGGACCACCGACTGACTGACGTTTCTGGGCCGACATGTCGTCAAGTGTGTCAGACTGACAGCCCAGCAGCACATTCGCGCATCTAGAGCGAATCTCCTGCCTAGCTGGTTGTGCTTCGCTAGCGACTTCCACACCGAAAGCACCGACGAACCGTCCTCAAGGTTGCTCGAACCGAACCAAACACGGAATTAGGCTGCCGATGACGAGTATGCCTTGCTGGCGTGCGCTGCCCAACCGCTTCCAATATTTTTGTGGCCAGAACATGTTCAGACCAGAGCACCCCATGGCACCAGTCTGATACTCGCAGAAGCGCAGTATGTACTCGTTAAACCGTTTTGGACCGCATCTGAGGTCCTGAAGATCTGGCGTCGGTGAACATTGAGCACCCCAGCTGGTTTCGCGGCGCAGCCTTACCAATCGGCCAACTGCGCATTGCTGCTGTCGGTTACAGTACACTGCCTCGCTGCCGTGCCGAAGCAGGTGTGTTGCGGCGCGGTTCATCATGACGTCAGTCGTGCAGTTTCGTTCTGTTCGAGTCAACCAGCCGGGGCTGAAAACGATTTACAGGTTCGGCAACTGATCAGTCTCTGATTGGTTCACTGAGGTTCGGTAGTACTGTAGAGCGCATGAAAATGGGAGACTCGAGACAAGCGAGACGTCGGCGACTCGTCTTCCCCAGGGCAAAACGCGAATCGCCGATTTTCTTCGATGAGGTTTGCGCCGTGCCTTGCCTCGCCTCACCTTCCCTGTCCGTGACTCGCCTACCGCCCACCGTCCACCTGCGGCAACACCAGAATCTTCCTTTACCTAGCGAAAACGCCTCGGAACGAGTCTAAACAAACCGAACCGACTGATAAACCAAAAGTTTAACTCGGTGGTTGGTTTGCAAGCTCCACTCTTGCTCTTGTCTATCGATGGTTTCTCCCTCTAGCGTTGCTTGCCTGCCTGTTGGTTGTTGGTCATCAGAAATCGCGTTGCTTGCTTGCTTCGTGTGCTGGTCACCAGCCAGTCTCAGTCACTGGTCAAACCGACCCTTCCTGTCATCTTGCGTCGCATTATCCGCACATCCAGATTTGACAGCTCGCAAGCAACGCAAGACTGCCCAGCCAAAGCGCGTGCAACACGAGGCTCTGGGGTGTTGCACGCGTGCGTCCCCTTCTCTTCACCCGTCTCCCTCGATTACAGTATTTCCACATCGAAGCTGCCATTCGTTCAGACCCAGAAAAGCTTGTTGAACGCCTTCAGAAGAGCTTACATTCATCTCCCTCGTTCGTGAATTTCGAGTCTACTGGTAGTTAGAACGCCTTTACCTCTATAGTTGCGTGCGTCCCATGCTCCTTCCTCACCTCTGTTCGTCGCGGTCTTCGCGCGTTACTCCACAGCCGCGAGTTATTCGCCTCGCGGTCTCGTGTACAAACCTCTCTTACCCTCCGACGCTTCAGAACGCCGCCGCGGCCGCTTTTTACGAACCATCCACTCCCACAGCAGTCATAAACGGTCTCAGTCCCGAAGTAGTCGAGGTTAACCCCGGTTCCCGATTTCCCCTTTCCCGCTGCAATCCACGTGGTGAATCATCAAACGCTCCTGCGGCGTTCAGGTGGTTGCAATGCTTTCATCCGACTCCTTCCTTCGCGATTTGATCGGCGGCCGCTACCGCCGCGTGCGGCTGATCGGCCGCGGCTCGCACGGCACGGTGTGGGAGTGCGAGGACATCCACACGTCGCTCCGAGTCGCCTGCAAATCCATCCCGCACGTCCGCGACGCGTCGTCGCGCGTGCACGCGGCGCCTGTGCGCGTGGATGACATCTGTACGGAGGTCTGCGCTTTAAAGACGGTCGGCGGGCATCCTAACGTCATCGGTCTAGTCGAGGTAATAGTAGATCCCGCCGAGGCGCACGTAATTATGGAGTTGGCGCCGGGCGGGGATCTCCTAACGGAGCTCATGCGGCGCGGCCCGTTGAGCGAGCCGCTCGCCGCTACAGTGGTGCGGCAGCTCGCGTCGGCTGTCGCGTTCTGCCACGCGTGCGGCGTCATGCATCGCGACATCAAGCCCGACAACGTGCTGCTCGTGCGCCCTCCGCCGCCGTCCGCGCGGGCGCCGCCGGTGGCAGTCGCGCTCGCAGCCGCAGCTGCGGAATCCGAGCGGGGCTCGGAAGCGGATGGCGGAAGCGCAAGCGGAAGCGGAGGAGGAAGCGGGCGCGCGCGAGGCCCGGCTCATCTGCAGGTTTTGGAGCGGGAGGGAAGGAGCAGCGCGGAACGCGGCAAGTTTACAGGGAACGGCTGGGAGCACAGCAGCAGCAGGAGCAGCAGCAGCAGCAGCAGCAGCAGCAGCAGCAGCAGCAGCAGTAGCGGGAGGTCGCATCAACCCATGAGTCGTAATCTTCATCACAATCACCATCAACATAATCACAATCACCATCCAGGGCACGTGGTGCGGGTTTTCAGGAACCGAACCAACGTGTTCGGCTTGACCAACAGCCAAAGCACGGGCGGGATTTTGTCGCGCGGAAACGATGCTTCCGCGCATGCTTCTCCGCCCGCCAGAACCGGCGCAGCGTCGCTCCCCTCTTCCCCTACAAAATCCAAGCTACGTTGCGCTGACTCCCCCGCTTCCCCCTCGTCCCCCGCCTCCGTCTCCGCCACATCGTCGCCTTCCCCGCCCGCCTCCCCCTTACGAAACAAGAGCCCGCGACCCTACAATTCCGCAGGCCCCACTTGCGCTTCGGCCTCCCTTTCCTCCGCCTCTTCCTCCGCTCTCGGCGCTTCTTCTGCGCGCGGCGCAAGCCTTCGCGTGGGCTCCCCTTTGGCGGAAGATTACGTGGGCGCGGAGCGGCAGATTCTGGGCGTGAAGCTCGCGGATTTCGGCGTTTCCGCGATTCTCAAGGGCGGCATGCGCGAGATCCGGCGCAGCAGAGGCGCGGGGACGCCAGCCTATATGGCGCCGGAAATGGGCTGGCGGAAGAGGGGGGACGGGCGCGGGGAAGCGGGGGAGAAGTTGGGGGAGAAGGAGAACGGGGCGGGCAAGGGGGATGGAGTGCATGGCGGGGGAAATAACCCTAGTTTATTGGATCTGCCCGCATATGGTGTGAAGGCTGATGTGTGGAGCCTCGGGGTGACATTGTGCACAGTTTTAACTGCCCGAATTCCCTCCCATCCTGTAGATTTCTCGAAAAAGGAGTGGGAGGGGGTATCTGACGACGCGAAAGATCTGGTCCGTCGGATGCTGGTGGTGGACCCGGATCGACGGCTGAGCTCGTTCGAGGTGTTGGAGCACCCATGGCTGAATCAGACGGCCGTTCGATCCTTGGACCCTGCTGTCCGCTGCCCCCACCTGCTCTCGCCCGCCCTACCTGGCACAACGAGTGGTAACCAGGTTACAAGAATCGTCTGCATGTAGCTGCTGAAGGTGCCCTCTCCCCGACTCCTCGATCCTTGGACCCCGCTGTCCGCTGCCCCCACCTGCTCTCGCCCGCCCTGCCCAGCAAAACCAGTGGTAACCAGGTTACATGGATTGTCTGCATGTAGTTGCTGCAGCAGGGACAGCAGTGAAACCAGTCGAAAGAGGTTGTAGCAGGGGCAGCAGCTAATGGTAACAGCAGCAGGGGCAGCACGAAAGGCTGTATCAGGGGCAGCCGCAAAGGTTGTAGCGGGGGCAGCAGCAAATGTTGTAGCAGGGGCAGCAGCGGCTGGTGAGGGCTGCACTAGGGGCAGCAGGTAGCCCACATGGGACCAAGACTGCAATGCAAACAGCAAGCATACCTCCATACCAGCAGCAGTGGTATTGGCTCCAAGGCGGCTCAATCGTCAACCAGACAAATAATGTGAACAAGGAGATGGTGGGAGGGCGATGTACCACCTTATGTGTTCAGATCAGGCGTGCACCCCTTCCCACCTTACTCCTTGCACTAATAACGAAGCGCCCCTTACAAGGGCCCAGGACAGGAGCCATGGCCCAGGGCCTACGGCAATAGAATTATCCTCAGTGCAGCATTAGAATACTACTGTACCTACATCTGGTGGGGAGGAGCTGTTACCATGAGCGAAGTAGGCTGAAGAGAGCTCTTGGATCAAGAGGTACTCCTTATAAGGTCCCCTCGGTAACAGCCAGGGCGTTCTGTACTGTACCTATGGTGGTGGTGGCTCCGTGATTGAGTTTTGCGCCGGACCGGAATGCACCTACCTACCCTTGTATTGGTTTGGAAAATCTAATGGATTTGCCCCATTGCTTCTAATTTTACTGCATGGCGTTATGAATCATGGTAAGATAGCATTTAGCTTTCTTTTTCCAAAACAAGGGTGACTTGGAAACAGCACAAGCATGTGCAAAACAAGGTGTTCACATCACATACCCATCATGTTCAATAACAAGAAATAGAGGGCTTTTACAATACAAATGAGCTTGCAGCAACCCCAACCCTCACACATCTGCCGCGCAGCTCCAAGGCAGCATGCCTGGATCATACTACAGTTTATCCGGGCACAGCTTGCAGTTTTCAAATGATAGATGGACTCTTGCAATACAAATGAGCTTGCAACCCCTCCCCACCGACACACATCTGCCGCGCAGCTCCAAGGCAGAATGCCTGGATCCAAACTATAGCCGGACACAGCGCGTAGTGCTCAAAACTGTCACTGCTCCCCTGTGTGTAAGCAAGCAGCTGCAGGCACCCTCAGACCTTAGATGCAGGGCGCCGATACTAGGATCCTACATGTTTTTCCGTGGGGTGGGAGTGGGGACAGCAGGTGGGGTGGGGGGGAGAGAGGGCAGAGGGAAAGAGGTGGAGTGGGGTGGGGCGGTAGAGTGAGGTGGAGTACGGTGGAGTGGGAAGAGCAGTTGCAATGGGGAAGAGGAGGTGAAGTGGTGTGGGGTGGTGGAGTGGGGTGGAGTGCGGTGGAGTGGGAAGAGCAGTTGCAATGGGAAAGATGAGGTGCAGTGGGGAAGAGGTAGAGTGGGGTGGAGGTCAGGTGAGGGGACATGGGAGGAGTGGGAAGACGAAGCGGAATGGGGGGAGGAGGTGCATTGGGTAACAGGTGGAGTGGGGTGGAGGGGAGTGGGAGGAGTGGGGAGGAGGAGGTGGGGTGAGGGGGAGATGGAGTGGGGAAGACCAGGCTGAATGGCGGGAGGAGGTGCATCGAGAAAGAGGAGATGGGGTGGAGGGGAGTGGGAGGAGCGGGAGGAGCGGGAGGAGCAGGAGGAGCGGGAGGAGCGGGAGGAGCGGGAGGAGCGGGAGGAGCGGGAGGAGCGGGAGGAGCGGGAGGAGCGGGAGGAGCGGGAGGAGTGGGAGGAGCGGGAGGAGCGGGAGGAGTGGGAGGAGTGGGAGGAGTGGGGGAAAGCTGGGAATAGAGTGGGTGAAGCTGGAGTGAGCGGGTGAAACCCCGTATCTTGGAAGAGAATGGGAGAGGAGAGGTGACGTCACTCCCTTCCTCTGTTCCCTCTGTCTCATGCAGTTACAGCAGACAGCTCAGCAGCTACGCACAGACAATCCGTGTAACCTGGTTACCACTGGTTTCGCTGGGCTGGGCGGGCGAGGGCAGGTGAGGGCAGCAGACAGCAGGGTCCAAGGACGAGGAGTGGGGTCAGCAGCTACATGCAGACGATTTTCGTAACCTGGTTACCACTCGTGCCAGGTAGGGCGGGCGAGAGCAGGTGGGGGCAGCGGACAGCAGGGTCCAAGGATCGAACGGCCGTCTGATTCAGCCACGGGTGCTCCAACACCTCGAACGAGCTCAGCCGTCGATCCGGGTCCACCACCAGCATCCGACGGACCAGATCCATCGCATCTTCCGGCACACCTCTCCACGCTTCGTGCTCGAAATCCAACGGCAGAGTGGGGATCCTGGCGGTTAGCATCGTGCATAGAGTCATCCCCATACTCCAGACATCAGCTTTAAAGCCATATCTACCGCCGCCGCCGCCGCCGCTAATGCCATGAATTGCCCCCATACCACGGGTAGCATCGACCGCATGCACTGCCATGCCAGGAGTCCGCCCCATGCCATAAGCTCCCACCCCCATAACACCCCCGTTATAAGCTGACCCGCTACAGGTCATCTCAGGCGCCATGTACACGCGCGTGCCCGCGCCCATGTCCTGCCGTTGGGCGGAGAGCCCCCCGCGCATGAGCGCAGCCACGCCGAAATCCGCGATTTTCGCTCCGAGAATCCCCCTTCCCGAACCAGCGTGCTGCTGCTGCTGCTGTTGCTGACCTAAGGGCTCTCCGTCGGCTGCTGCATTCCCTGTGGTAGTCCTGCTGCCATTGGTGCTGCTGCTGCTGCTGTAATTGGTGGCATTCGCCGGGGTACTTGAAATATTGACCTCGCTATTACACCGACGGTTCGCATTCTGCCCCCTAATCCCATCGGGAGGTGACGGGGAACGCCTGGAGCGAACGGGAGAGGAAGGCTCCGATATAACGTCTCTTCGATACAAGGCCTTGCAATCGCCACGTACAGGATTGCTATGAGCTGCTACATCCAAACTTCCAGGGAAAGAGCAAACCTCAACACTGCTACAACCGCTGCTGCTACAACCGCTACCGCTGCTGCAGTCGCTATTGCTGCTACAACTGCTGTCACTGCTACAGTCACTGCTGCTGCTACCGTTGCTGATACAGCCGGTGCTACAGCCGCTGTCGACCCTCGTCAGAGCCTGGTTGGACCGGTTAGCTAACGCCCGCACTGCGCTTCCAGGAACCCGCCTCTTAAACCTCTCCCCCAACACCCTCTCCCCCGCAAACCTCCCCCTCTCCCCCGCGAGCCCTCCGGAGAACCTCCCGCCCGCCATCCCCTCGCGGGATTCCGCTCGTAACTCCGCCGCCGGAGCCCCACATTCTTCGACCGCTGACGTCACCACTGTAGTTCTTGATGACGTCATCGCTGCCGGCAGCGGGCGCACGAGCAGCACGTTGTCGGGTTTGATGTCGCGGTGCATGACGCCGCACGCGTGGCAGAACGCGACAGCCGATGCGAGCTGCCGGAACACTGTAGCTGCGAGCGGCGCGTCCAGCGGGCCGCTCCGCATGAGCTCCGTTAAGAGGTCCCCTCCCGACGCGAGCTCCATAATTACGTGCGCCTCGGCGGAGCCTACTACCACGTCGACGAGTCGCACCACGTTCGGATGGCCGCCGACGGTCTTTAAAGCGGATATTTCGGTGCAGACATCGTGGATGTGCGGCGCGTGAGGAAGAGCGTTTCGAGCGCCAGATGCGCCGCATTTCACGGCAGGAACCCCGGCAGGAGCTGCGCCGGAAGCGACCCGTGCTAGCGGAATCGTTTTGCACGCGACGCGGAGCGAAGTGTGGAGGTCCTCGCACTCCCACACGCTGCCGTGCGAGCCGTGACCGATCACCCGCAACCGGCGGTAGCGGCCGCCAATCAGAGCGCTGCTTTCGGAGGCGGGCGGAGGGAGCGCCCGCGCGTTCTTACGAAGCCGATAGTCCGACATCTCGAGAAAACTAATACGCGCTCTTCCACGAATATTTTGAGCCGAGTCAAAAACAGAAACTGATACGCTCTCCCTTCTACGAAACGGTAATCGGATTGAAATGCCGCAAAATTTCTTATTTCAAGTCGGAGGGGGGTGGGGAACGACAGTCGAATGGAGAATTAAAAAAAAAAACTAGCTCAACAGAGAGAAACACAGCCGAGAGCATGGAGGGATCTCCGGCCCCCTTGAACTTGGAAGTTGGAAGATTGAAGGGCCCTTTCGCAATTGGAAATGCACTGCCAGTAGCTACAGAGAATCGGAGGGGCCTTCCCGTGGGACGGACGGTCCGACGCTCGAGAGTCGATCGATACCTTCGACTAGCTTCGCATCGCCTTCACGGTTGGGAACATCTGACCTGAGCCTTTCTCTGTCGTTCTCTCATTCTCTCTATCAAGCTAATCTCGTCTGCTCTGCTCTACGTGCTGCCATCGGCCTCTCTCTACTCTTATCAGATGACTAGGCGTGCTGCTGCTGCTGATGCGTACCAGCGACGCACATGGGTGGCCTGACGACTATAGCTTACCAACTGATAATTGAGAGGGTCGGCCATTGCCAGAAGGGAAGCCATTGGAGTTGTCGAGTCGAGTCGAGGTGTGATGGAAGAAAGGAGTGTGTTCTGCTTCAGGTCCGACCAAACCTACACCGCAGTAAAACATTTTGAAATGCTCTAAATGCTACTACACCTAGCTCAACCAGACTGAAAGCTCGTTCCTTTCCCAGAATCAGAAACTGCAAAATCATGAGGGCATTGAACTGGGCTGCTGCTTGTGTGGCGTGGGCGCGGGATTCTCTCATTCCGCCTAGGCGCTGAGCTGGTAGCGGCGCCAGAAAGCAGCAATTCCGCGCGGACCCTACGTGGCCATGACGCGGACGGGCAGCAAGCGGAAACTCGCATTCCGCATGGAGAGACAAACGAAACGCGGCAAACCTTTCGCGAGCGGGACAAGTTTTGCGCCTGGCCCTCAAGGCGTCACGCGCACTCCTCGGACATGGGCGAAAACGTGTCGCCTGGTCGAGTTTGGTTGGTTCGGTTGAGCCGAAATGCGCAAGCAGCTTTGTTTGGCCTGGTGTGGAGCGCTGATTCCAGGCTTGGCGGCGCACCGCGCGATGATTGCGCATGCAATTAGGGAATCGAGAGAGCTGCCTCTCTGGTTCGGATATTGAGACTCCGTCCAAATTTCCAGCCCCGACGGGTACCTGTGTTGTCGAGCCAGCACAGCAAACATTGCGCGCCACGGCACGGCTTCGATCGTGTGGCCGGTGAAGATTTGCAGCCACAGGCCAATGCGGCAGGAGCACCTGGTTCGAATAACGGCCGGCAATTACATGGGTAACTAGCATGGCTGTTTCAAATATCCAGTACGTCAGCTTCAATTTCGTCATCCCATAATACTGTACCAGAATATTCATAAATGGCGGTGGAAGTCCTCCTTTACGGATACCAGCCAGGTGATGACCGTAAACCTCCACCATGGCAATGTTTTTTAGTCCGCGACCTTCGTCACGGGAAACAACGCTAGAAAGAGTGTGTATCGGTTTGAAAGCTTCACGTACACGTTCATGGCAGGGAAAATCACATGTTTCTAGTCGTGCAAAGGTTGCAGAAACGGCGCCATACAGGGAGCACGTTTGTGACCCGGTCCACCCATTTCACATTGACCTGAGATTGAGCTGATGCAGTCTTTTCGCACCTGACCTGAAATTCCTCCCAGCCAATTGAGCCAGGAGAAATGTTCGGCACGGTTCAATCGCAACAAACCCGAGATTTTGTCTGAGCAACAACCTGATCACCAAAAATACAGTTGGTGAGATGCCTGAAGCCGAGGACTTGATATGCGATGCACCATGATAGGTCTGCACAGCCGTGGTAATCAGGTTTTGATAAAAATATACACTACAAGATTTGCACAAAACTATGAACAACGCAATCTAAGTAGGGCGAAAGCAGATGCTTAGCTGAGGGACTTCTCATTGCCACTCACTACACTGACAATATTCATCATAAAGATTCCGTCGCAGCATGGGTAGCAATTAAGATTGCAGAAACCTTCTCCGCATCAGTTTGCATGACCACCCCTTCAGGAGGCAAACTGCGAGGGCAAGAAATATTAATACCGTCACAATATGGAATGTGAATGTGAGCATATAATATACGATATAACAGGAGAAGAAAGTGAGCTGGAATACTGACGTTGTAGCACGGAAGGGGCAGAGAGGGTTGGAGTGGATTGGCTCGGGTTGCGTCCCCAGTGATCGTGCGGATGCATGGATGTGGGCCACGCCTGATCGGGTAATGATGGTTGCGGCATTCTCTGGTGTTACCCCGCCTGCCGAGGAAAAGGGTGGTGACAAGTGGGGGCAGCGAGGGGGCAAGTGGGGGAGAGGCGGGGTAAGAGGCGGTAACAGTCGGTGAGACAGGTGGCACCAGCGATCGTGCGGATGAATGGATGTGGGCCACGCTTGATTGGGTGATGACGGTTGCAGCATTCTCCGGTGTCACGCCACCTGTCCGTCTGGGTACAGAAAATGAGATATGAGGGGTGAAGAGGGGTAAGAGGCGGTAACAGGTGGGTGGCGCCAGCGATCGTGCGGATGCATGGATGTGGCCAACGCCTGATCGGGTAATGATGGATGCGGCATTCTCAGGTGTTACCCCGCCTGCGGAGGAAAGAGGCGGTAACAGGTGGGGGCAGTGAGGGGGGAAGCGGGGGAGAGGGAGGGTAAGAGGCGGTAACAGGCGGTGAGACAGGTGGCGCTAGCGATCGTGCGGATGCATGGATGTGGGACACGCCTGATTGGGTAACGATGGTTGCGGCATTCTCTGGTGTTACCCCGCCTGTCCGTCCGGGTACGGAAAAGGGGATGAAGAGGGGTAAGAGGCGGTAACAAGTGGGAGCAGCAAGAGGGGAGGGAAGAGGTGGGAGCAGGTGGGGTGGGGCACACCTTCCAATCATGTGTGCCTCTTTGAATTTGAATCAAGTGAAGTGAATCACCTTCCAGTCGTGTGCCTTTTGAGTCGGCTTTTGAGGCGCCTCAAAAATAGACTCCTCACGCGTGAATCAAGTGAAGTGAATCACCTTCCACTCGTGTGCCTTTTGAGTCGACTCAAAAGTCATCTCGGGGCACACCTTCCAGTCATGTGTGCCTCTTTGAATTTGAATCAAGTCCGCTCCATGTCTCCAGTATATCTCACCTCCCTCCATAATATCTCATCTCCTGCCATGAAGTGAATACTCCCTTTGCTTCATTCACCAGCCTTTGTATCACACAAATCACCCCCCAGCCTTTGTATCACACAAATCACCCCCCAGCCTTTGTATCACACAAACCACCCCCCAGCCTTTGCATCACACAAATCACCCCCCAGCCTTTGTATCACACAAATCACCCCCCAGCCTTTCTATCACACAAATCACCCCCCAGCCTTTGTATCACACAAATCACCCCCCAGCCTTTGTATCACACAAATCACCCCCCAGCGTTTGTATTCGCAGCCCTTGCTCCACACCTCCTCTGCTCTGCCTCTTTGAAGTTGAATCAAGTCCGCTCCCTCCCTCCAGTATCTCTCACCTCCTGCCATAATCTGGATCCCCCTGCTAGACTGCCCTACCACATAGCCTTACCACTTCTCACCTCCTGCCATGATTTGGTGTTCCCCTGGGACTCTCCCACCAGTTGCCGAATCACCCCCATGCCTTCCTCTGCTGTGGCCCTACCACCGCCTCTACTCCCCTAGTTGGATTGCCCTATCGCCTGGCCTAAACACACCTCACCTCCTGCCATGATTTGGATCCTCCCTTGGGATTCTCCCACCAGCTGCTGAATCACCCCCACGCCTTCCTCTGCTGTGGCTCTCTGGCCAGATGTCAGGATTCGTTTCACCCCTCCGCTCGATATAAGAACCTGAGCAACGCAAGAACCAAATAAGCACTCATACTGTTACCGTACGGGCGTACACATGATCAAATCCGCACCTTCCTCTGTTGTGGCTCTCTCACCGATGCCAGCACTCGTTTCACCGCTCAACTTGCTATAAAGCTGTGCTGTGCTGTGCTGTGCTGTGTTGTGCTGTTCTGTGCGGTGCAGTGTGGCAGTACGTTGAGTTGAGTGCTGAGTAGACCCACAGACAGTCCTGCACACTGCAGAGCAGTGCACTCAGTGCATGTCGAGTGACCTTCCACCCACCTGCAGAGCAGCTATGGGGTCCTTCGTGTGGTCGAAGGCTCGGTGGAAGGTGACTTGCAGTGAGTGCGGTGCTGTGTGGTGCTGTGCGGTGCAATGTGACTGGGTTTTGTGCTCACACCGAAGACCCACCCGTAAAGCAGCCATGGGGTCCTTCGTGTGGTCGAAGGCTCGGTGGAAGGTGACGTGCAACGAGTGCTGTGCTGCACATTGTACAAGACGATTCAGCTGGATAAAGGTAGGGAGAGACGCGGGGGGGGGGAGGGGGGGGGGAGCATAGGGAGAACAGGAGAGAAGAAGGGAGGGTTGGGAGGGACGGTGTCTCCATTGCATTGCAACCCTTGCAGTGAGTGCCGGGAGGCACACTGCAGATGGGAAGGAGTTGGATTCGATCCACAGCAAGCCTCGTAAGAGTAGATCTAGGCGGCACACTGCAGGACTCTTGATGCGCCGTTTTGGGGCGCCTCAAAACTGGGCGGCACACTGCAGGAGTTCAGAAGCGCCTCAAAACTGGGCGGCTCACTGCAGGAAACGGTTGCGGTGAAAGAATCGAGGGTCAGTTCTAGTCTCAGATCTACTCTTGGGAGACCTTCTACTGGGGAACTGCGGATCGAGCCCACCTCGTTTTCGACTGCAGGAAACGGTTGAGCTAAAATAAGGGGGATGAGGGACTTTTGAGGTCACTTTTGAGTCGACTCAAAAGTCACCTGGTCACTTTGAGTCGACTCAAAAGTCACCTAATAAGGGGGATGAGGGGCTTTTGAGGTCACTTTGAGTCGACTCAAAAGTCACCTAATAAGGGGGATGAGGGACTTTTGAGGTCTGAGAGCCACACAGCAGGAAACGGTTGAGGTGAAGAAGGGGGATTGGGTTGGGGGAGGGGACGTGAGAGGGGTATGGACGGATGTGGATGGAGGGCGGGAGAGATGAAGGGATGGACGGAGATGGTTAGATGACTCGAAACAAGCGGCCTTTGTACACACACACACACACATATATATATATATATATATATATATACTATGTAAATATATATACATTAACAGGTATGTACAAAAAAATATACACCTTACCTTCGGTTCGTCAATGTCTCCCCCAGGAGTCAAAGCCCCCACCACCACCCCAGTTGCCCCGGCTTTAGCACACTCGTTAATGTCACACTCCATAGCCTGCAAGAAAACGGAAATGGGGCAACGAAAATTGCGCAATAGCATTGGAAACAGACTCTGCCTGCGTGTGTGTCACACTCTAACAGTCCAATGCCTGCGATGCGAAGGTAGGCTCGAATGGGGTAGTAACACATGTGATTGGGGCCACATGATATAAGGTTAGTTTTGAGACGTCTCACGCGGTAGTAACCTTTATCACGCGGTATGCTCGAATGGAA